CACTTTTTTTACGGAAATACACGTTCTAAAGCGCCATGAATCCGAAGCAAACAAAATCTCGATGATGTCGGTCTGTCTGTCGGTTCGCCTGTACTCTCATTTCCGGCTGAACAGATTGGAACCATTGGAACAGCGTCGAACTGTTTCCGTTGCCTCTTTCCATGCGAATTGTTGGGCCAAGCAATAGAGCGACATTTACTCACCTAGGGTGAGCTGCTTTACAAGCAAATATTCCTTCCTTCGCTTAACTTGTTTACTTGTTTTACAACTGAAGCTTTCAAGATTCCAAGATATTTCATTTTCGTTTTTATTTTTCGATCCACGCATCAGTCACCCAATTTCTGTGCGACAGCCATCACGTTTTTATAGTTAGAAGTTTATTCCGAAAAAGTCACGCATTCAATTTCCAAGAGAAATCTTGAATTAAAAAAAAATTAGGAAATTGAAATATACAAACGTGACGAACGTCCCTATCTCGTCGCCGCAAACATGACATTGACATTAATGAAAAAACGATACAGCATTTCATTTACTCATTCAATTTAAATTTTAAAAAAGCGAATGTAAAATTAATTAGATCGACGCGCTTTGTGTGTGTATGAGCTTTTTTTCACTGCCGCGCCGACGTCATTACGCTTCAAACTCATCAATTTTCTGCGATTTGTATCGGCGGCGGCGGCGGGCGCTCGCCATAGAAAACTAAACAGAACTTTCCGAAACGGCGTTAAGGGGAAAAAGAATGAAATATATTAAGCGAGAGAAAGTTTTCTTTTGATACCGATAACCCAGAAAAAACGCGACCATGTAAAAGGAGGTAGAATAATATAATGGATGGCGTAAGTGAATTTGTTGTAAAAAAAAGGGGGGAAACTTCAACTGTATCAATTTCGTTTCTAAAAGTTTTATAGTCAAAATTGAAATATACTTTCTATATTTAATCTATTAGAAGTTGTATTGTGTGTTTCATTGGAACTTCATAAGCGTTTTATACTTTTTTCATTTTGTGCAAACGATTTTCTCTATTTGATTAATTACCTTTTGTTCTGCAATTGATAGCTTTGCTACTGTTCGGGAACTATTAATTGGATGTGTTTTATGAAAATTGTGAAACGTGTTTACTTTTCATTTTCTAAGCTTGCTTTCGATTGAGTATTTATGCGCCTCTCAATCCGTCACGTGCATTTTACCCCTAAGGCTTTATCAGCAATTATGAAATATTTATTCGAAAGTTTCCGTTTTTCATATTTTTGAACACACGAAGTCTGGAAATTCCGTATAGGTTGATCCACCATTATTTTGAGCCCTTAAAACGTCTGGAGCTTTCAAGATTTTCAAAGCCTTTCAGGAACTTCAAATTATCTAATTTTTTGGGCTCGTTTCAATATTCGGTCTTGCGGATTTTCCGATTTCAGGTGATTAGAATGCCTGTAGTTTTTTCAGAACTATGGAATCAACAAAGCCCCGGGGCTTTCCGTGGATGTTATTCTAAAGCCGGATTAGAGCTTAAAGTTTTACGAGAGCGACCTTTATGCGTAAGGCAAGTTAGGTACAAATTTGCAATATTAAGTTGCCAATTGGCCGACTGTGTGAGATTAAACTGTGGCAGACCTTCCACTTTTTAATGTAAAAGTATGTAGTAGATGGGTGGGGTCCCATAACGAATCGACAGTCGATCTGTGCATGTTTTGGCGTGACTAGCCAATTTACAAGCGTGATTTCACCTGAGTATTGTTACATCATGGCGCATGAAATCGGAAACGATCAATTCTCCGAGATTTTACCCAAAACTCGTTTTCTAATAGGCCGCAAATTTTTCTTCAAATCAAGTAGCATGGTAGTTTTCGGCACAATGTAATTCATTCCTTCTATGTGTTGTGGGATATTCCAAACCCCCCACACTCCCCGGTGATAAATTTTTACAAAATCTTTAGAACAGGCACCATGCTTATGATTATTTTGTAGGGTGTGAAATCAAATGTTCCATTTCTAGGAGATATTCCATACATGAAAATTCCAAGGGCTGAACGTCTTGGGAGATATTCGGGGACGTTGGGGGACATGGAGTAGTTTTAGGGAAATGTAATTGATTCCTTCTGTGTTCTGGGGGGTAATCCATACCCTCAGACCCTCCGGTGATTATTGTTTTCCAAAATCACCATCACAATCACCATTTAGAAGTAAATTTCCCTGAAAATTTCCTTCGATTGGTGCTTAAAGGTACATCATTTTTTAAAAGCATAATTATCAATTCTCGATCAAGCATTCGCTGTAAAACTCACCTTTGATTTTGATAATTTTTAGAATGTAGGGTCGTGACGGAAAAAAAAGAAAACCTGAAATGGAGTTCGTAGGACAAGATATAAGTGTGTCGAGATCTCCTGAACTCCTGACTCACTGAATATATCATTGGGATTATTTAGTGCACTTGGTTCTAGTTTTCCTTTACTTATTTTAAATTAATTTTTATGCCCCTCATTTAGAACGGGAACCGTTATTATTAGTTCAGTACGAGGTTCAGTAGTAGTTTTTCGGTTCTCGCTTTTGTAGGTAGAGTAGATACAATATTCGTACCCGTCAATTGTTATTTTTTAGTGCGGTTTTTAATGGTTTTTTTTTACTTTTTAAGGGTTTAAGAGTTTTACGTCTTCAAGAATTTTAGGTTCCGGTTCTAGTTTTTTCTCGGTTTTTAAGGGTTCCAACGTACTGGGCGTATTTTCAGGGGCGGTACGAATATTGCAAGGAGAGATTTCTTAGAAGTGTGTCAAGATTTTTTTAAGATGAATATTACTTTTTTGAGACCGAATTTTCGGTGCAATAATTATAGTGGTTTCCAGTTGGCAATTCAAATTGAAACTTCAGTTTAAAAGACTAGATTCGAAATTTAAGTTGGAAGCTTGTGAACGGTTTTGAATTTCCCAATTTTCGGTAATAGATAGACAATGGACAAAGGACTAACTGATTAAATTTTGGTGATTTTGAACTTGTCGGTCGTTGTCTATATTGGTTTGAAACAGTTTATTCGATCTTTGTACCTATAACTTCCTCATTTGCCTTATCTTTACCATCTGGTGTTGTATTTGTACATCCAAGTTCTTTTTGTAGCTAATTTTCCATCTTTTCCACCACTCATGTCTTCATTTCGAGTTTAACCCGTCTGTATCCATTTCGTTCATCCCACATTCCTTTTGCATTCATTCATCATACCAATTATCGCTTTATTTTTCACTCCGTTCTCCTAATCTTACCGTGCTGCGCCCCGACGCTATCCTTATCTTTTCCATTTCTGTTTTATATTGTTTTATACTATCTTCTTTGCGTTCCTTCCAGTTTATCCCATTTCTTCCACCTCCATATCTCCGCTTCGTTCTTAACCACCCCTCTCGCCATTGCATCGAACAGGTGTGAAATTTCGATCCCTCTTTTCTCCAATTCCCCACCACCACCCCCTTTTTTCTCAACTTTCTTATCTGCGCACTGGCCCCTTTTCATTTGGTACCCTAAATATTTAGGTTTTCTAACCTCTTCTATTCTTAATTCCCTTCGATTCTATCTCCATTTTTCTTCCACCCCCCTCCAAATCTCACCATCTTTGATTTTTCTACATTTAACTCCATTATTCCCAACATCTCTTTCATTTGTTCTACCTCTCTTGCCATTATCACACATTTCTTTCACACATTATTCACGCCATTCGCACTTTTAGTTTTTATACCATCTTATCTGCACGCGTCTTTTACAATTTTTTTTTGTCCGTCCTTCGTAACTCTTTCTTTCATGTTTATTTCCTTCGCGCTTTCATTAAACACTTGCCTGGGGCCTTATGCGTGCCTATTTCAAGGACTCTTCATACTATTTTTACTCATTCATGCCATTTTTACAACCTTTCGTGACGTCCGATTTTTTCTCTTACACCTTTTAAGACCTTCATTCCAGTTTACCAATCTCTTCCTTTAACTTCACGTTCCATCATTCACCCTTCCTCCATCATTTAGATCAACTTTTCTTTTCTATTGTGCTTCCGCAGTTAATGCCATCACAATTGAACTTTCTGTCCGTTCGTCTGTGTACCTACATGATAACTCGCGAACGGTTTCGAATTTTCCAATTCTGTTTTCAGTAATAGGTAGACAATGGTCAGAGGGCTAACTGATTAAAATTTGGGTCAAAACTCGTCAATCGGAAGTGACCTTGTCACTCGTTGTACAGCAACCCCTACTGAAATGTCGGAAATTTTTTTAAACAATTGCAAATTGCTGTGTCTAAGATAAATGTTTCCGTTTAACAAAATAATTAAAGGAATTGTTTGGATTCGTGAAATTTGGAGCTCTCAAATATATTTTTTGATTAATTTTTGATATTCTTTACGGATTAAACCAAAATTGTTGAGAATTTTTCAGAATCCTAATGCGTCTCTTTTTCCAATTCTAAAGTTTGATATACTTTTATTCTTAGAACATCCGCGAATTTCAAATATTGGGGTTGGTTCATATGTGGTGATTATTTCTCTCAAAGCAACAGCTGAGTGGGTTTCCATTAGACCCTTCTTTAAATTGACAGTTCGAATACGTCTTCCCAATTCCAACAGCGAATCCAAACATTGAAGTTTGAAAATCTCGAAACTTCGTTTTGAATTGCAGGTTTCAGTTTAAACTTTTGTTTTTACGATTTTTGGAATAAAATTTCAACAAGGCTGCTATAGAGGGTCAAATTTAAAGAATTTTAAATCGGCACAAATATGGTATCCATACAATCAAATAAAAAATGATTAATGGATTTGAATTCTACTGTATGAATGCATGAATCTAGAAGGTCTTTAGGAACTTTTTTAGAATTTCAAATTTCAAACCTCGAAAACCATTTTTTTTAATTGTAGGAGTTTTTATGGATTAAAGAAAGATTCTACGCTACGGATATTTCAATTTATTTAAATCTGCTAGAATTGCTCCCCTGATAACTGAGGATGAGTTAGAGTGTTAATCAATTTTTTTCTATTGTTTCAGGTGGAATGCAAGAAAGCACAACCAAAAGAAGTAATGTTACCCGCCAACCTAGCCAAAACAAGGGCGGCAGGGCGCGGTACATACGGTGAGTTGCTAATGCTGAACCCCGGACCTGTGACGGGCGGTACCGCGACATCTGCTTTTCGATACACACCCTATCCTCTTCCTGTAAGCGCGAACGTGCCCGTAGCCACGGCCGGCCATAGCATTCCGGTGACCGCCATAGCGGTGGCTCCGGCTCCCTTACATTACGCCCCAACTGTATACGACGTGACGGGGTGCAAAAGAGTACTCGCGGCTCCCGCCGCCGCCTTTCGCCCGATTTCGGCTAGAGCCGCCCCTACGCTTACCTACAGTATGAGCGATCTCTTAGGCGTGCAGAGCCTAGAGATACCCACCGTTTACGCGAGCGCGCTTCCCGCCCCCGGTTTGGGCCTATGACCGGTACAAATGCCCCAAATAACGAGGCCCCATTAATTCTCACACCCCGCATACGAAATGGGTTGTCTTTATTTTTCCAACTGCCTCAGAATGTTCAATTAAGATAGTCGCCTTGTACGTAGCGACGATTGTTATTTTAAATTAATTTCCGTTACATTGTATTTATCTGGACATTTTAATTAAGTTGGATGGCGAAATATAATTAAAGCTTAACTGGACGTTTCGTAATCAATTACGGCCGGAATAATTTACGTTATACAAAAACAAATTTACGTTTTAAAATGTATTCCATTACACGCCCGATACGTATTATTTCGGCTTTTGGTCGAATTTCGGAGGATCCTAAGACAATATGTACTTACAACTTACATTGATATATTGTTTATTCCCGCAAGGTAAGCGTTGCGCGCTATAAATCCGACCGTCTATCCGAGTTTTATGGGTTTGGCAAACATTTACGTCCGCAATTACAAAATTTTAACATTCCGCGAAGGTTTCCAGTCCGTTCTGAAGGTGTAATGTGTCTACATTATTGTGACAATAACGTATTGCCAATTATTTCGGCGAGTTCGGTTGCATATTTGCTAATTTTTTCTAATGAGGGTTGAAAAACCGTCCGCATTGCAAGACTGGGAAGTAGAAAACTGTAGCAACTTAAAAGTGCATCAATCGGGGCTATAAAGTTCGAGAAAGTGAAAATGGTAATCAAAAGTCAGAGTCAATAAAATTGCATCGAAATAGCAAATCGATGGGGCAAACCGTAAACTTGGGATTAAAAGTTCGCAGTCGTAGGTGGTTTAAGGTTGACATTTAAAGCTGCAGATTGGAAGCTTAAAGCTAAATTGTAAGACTCCATTCTTAAATGTTTAAAGCACGAAGTAATAAGTTGATCTTTATTGTCACTATAAAACGGTTCATTTTGGATGTATATTGAGTCTGGAAGCAAACCACAAATTGTAAATGTCTAGTTGAATAGTTTTCACAATTAAACAAAATTGCGTTGCATTCGTGAGAAGTGAAATGATCAAAGTTTCTTGTCAAAATTAGACCATCTAGTCCAGTAGCCTTATATACTTCAGACAAATCCGGAGAAGTTGGCTCCAATGATTGCAACTGTGTGAAAAATCGAAAAAAACCGCGACTTTTTTCAGATTTTGGCGATTTTAACTAAAAAAGGACTGGTTTTCCATAATAACCGACGCAGTACGTTTTTAGTAGACTAAATTTACTATAATATGAGACCTCAAGTGTCTCCATAGATCCAATAGTTTCCGAGATATATTTTTTCAAAATTGACAACTTCTCGCAACTTTAGCAATTTATTAATCCAGGCAAATTGGACTTTTTACAAAAGAAAATTGTTAATGGATCTTTGCCAAGTGGATATGTTAAAATGATCTATAACCAAATAAATACGTGATCACAGGGGAGTGGGACTAAGTTTTTGGGGAGGGTGAAAACGGGTGAAAATCGCAAAAGTAACGGAAAAAATTGCGGAAATCCGTGTTTTTTGTTTATTATTGTTAGTTTCCGCAAAAATGATTTTCTTTTAACGAGATTTGGTTGAAATATAGGTACTTTTTTATAATTCAAATTACTACCAATTTTTTCAATATAAAAATTTCCGAATTTCGGTTGTTTTAATGAGAATCTGTTTCCTATTACCAATTGTACTCGAAAAACTGTCAACCTAAAAATTTGACGGAAATTGCCGTCGTACGATTTTCACTCCTTTTCACCCACCCCAAAAACTTAGTCCCACTCCCTTTCTCACGTATTTATTTTTTTTGTATTTGTTATATTTAACATATCCACTTGACAAAGATGTACTGGTAAGAATTTTTTGGCCCATACTTTTCAAACAAGCGATTTTTTACGGTTTTTCGTTTTTTTTTGATTTTTGACAAAGTTGCGTTTGGCGTCACAAAAGTGGATTATTCATTAGGACAACGAATTAACAAAAAATCCCGGATTTGACGGAAGGTACCTCCCCTTTCAGGCGACAAGGTTACTGGACTAATTGTTTTTAGAGTGCCTTGGCTCAAACGGTATGAAATCTCAAATAATCCCACAGAACTTCACTTTTCTGCAATGCTTTCGACACATTTTCGGACCACAAGTGTTGTGGCATTTTTGATATAACTCCCTCAAAAATGCGCTGAATAGGTGTCAAAAGAACTTCTTTCAAATTTCCAAGTAAAAATTAAACCGTATGGGCAAACGTAAAAAATGTTGTATTAAAAGAGCGCTAAACCTGTTTGTAATTTTTCCTGGTCCAATTTTTTCTAATTGGCACATTATGCGCCTGTAACCCTGATACAATAATTTTTATAAGAAAACCCTTTTTTTTGTCTGAGGTGAAGCTACCACCCATTCATGGTAGTGTGGGACTCCCATATTGGTATGGTTTACCCACTAAAACACTGCGATCTTGTTGCAATGATTATTGCAAGAAAAATTAGGGCTTCATATCTGCCTAGTTTTTATAATAATGATAATTTTACGAGAAGAATACCGCCAACACTTATACCTTTTCGTGCTCTTATGATGCTAGTCGATGAAAAAGAGTTTGTAGCAAAAGGGAAGGTATTTGAGAATTATCTTTTTCTGATTTACACCTTTTGATGTTTTTATGATAATGATTTGTGGAATCAGGAGTACACAATAGTAAGTGTGTGACAATAAATTATTATTTTACCGTTTTCACAGCCCGTCTTTCTGTGATATTGATACAATCATTTTCGGTAGGATAATTCTTTAACTGCAATTTTTGCAAGAATATTTGCATGAGAAGGATATGATAAAGGTGAAGTCCTTGTACGTCTGTGATCCTGATTCAATCATTTTTCCTGTTCATATCGCGTAAAAGATCGTATAATCTTAATACAATAATTATTGGATTTAAATTTTTCTTTTCAAAGAAAATGTGTATCAGAGGAGGTGTTTGACAATTAATTTTTTGCATACTTTTCACTTACTTGCTGTGATGCCGATACAATTCTTATTTTTACCGAGGTACTTTTTGAAAAGGGACCGAAAACAATTGATACAAGTTGTTTTTTTTCTATCTACACCTTTATTTGTACTCCTTCAGGTATAATAATTTTTTCAGTGAGTGTAGCGTTTCTGTGATCCTAATAATAGTTATTTACATATGAGTATGGTAAATCAAGGTTTACGTTAACGAGTGAGATGTTTACGCTGAGGCAGGAATTTCGAAACGAGTAACGTTAACTGATTTAACATACAAATAATGTAAAACATTTTATTTCATACTGCTCTTTCTTTTATTAAAATGCCATACAATTTTTTATTTATTTATTTATTTATTTATTTAGCCTTTATTTTTGAGTGGGCGGGGTTTCAGCCAAGGCTGCTCTACCAACCCAACCCACTATACATTTACAAATATCCATGCCCGAACCCGGATTCGAACCAGGGACCCTAGCACCACAGTCCAGCTTCAACTGAACTGCGCCACAGAATGTTGTACGCATTCAAATGAAAGCAAAAGTCGATCACTTGATTTGTTTGATCTGACAGTAGTTTGACACATTAATATACAGGTTCAGATGGATGTCAGTTGATGTTGCTAGGCAACATTTCCAGTCTGGTAAAAATTTTCAGTCTGGTAATAGTTATTTACATATGAGTATGGTAAATCAAGGTTTACGTTAACGAGTGAGATGTTTACTGCCGAAGCGTAGCTGAGGCAGGAATTTCGAAACGAGTAACGTAAACTGATTTGACATACAAATAATGTAAAACATTTTATTTCATACTGCTCTATTTCTATTAAAATACCATTTTGATTAGAATGTTGTAGGTACACATTAAAATAAAAGCAAAAGTCGATCACTTGATTTGTTTGATGACAGTAGTTTGACAAATATCAATGCATACGTTTAGATGGATGTCAGTTGCGGTTGCTAGGCAAAATTTTCAGTCTGGTAAAAATTTTCAGTCTGGTAAAATACGATTTACCAGACTCAAATCAGTCTGGGAAAGCGGCGATTACTAGATAGTATGAAATAAAATGTTTTTAAGGAAAAGCAGGAGAACATAATATCGTACAACTTTTCTTAGCGTTAATTTTTTTCGGATGTCCATTGTGGGTATTAGAAACACAATGCGTTTTGGGAATTACCTACATTTTTGAGTTCTTGAGATCCTGATAAAATAATTTTTGACATAAAAATTTGTATCAGAGGAACTTAATGCAGTGAATATTTTTTCAAAGTTATTGGTTTTCTTATTCGCATCTCCTCTCATTCTTATATTTCTCACAATAGTTTTGTTGAAAAGAAAATGTATCAGGGGGACATAATACGGTAAAAGTTTGTTAAAAATTTCACTTTTCCTTATTTACACTCTTTGGGTTCCTGAATCCTGATACCGTGATACAATTCTTTTGAAGTATAATTTGTAACAGAGGAACATACTATGAAAGAGGGTCCTGCCGTAATCTTGAGCCAATTTTTTGTTGACACTTTGTAATGGTGTAATAACCGGGAGAACATAATATGGTGTAAAGTGTTGGACAATTTACTGCGTTTCTTCATGTGGACGTGTGGTCCTGGGATAATTATTTTTAGCAGAAGGGCTTGAATCAAGGGAATATAATTATTGGTAACAATAATAACACCTTCTTTTGCTCCTATGATCTTGATACAATAATGTCTTTGCAGGGAAATTAATATCAGGAAAACATATTACAGTAGAAGGTAACTAATTTTGTTTTAATCCATACCTTCTTATGTTTTTTTGTGATACTGTTATAATTAGAAGGAAAGTTTGCACCAACATAGTTAAGGTAAAAGTTGTTTCGCAATTACTTATTTTTCAAATTTATTTTTTCTTGTGATTCTATGATCCGGATATAATAATTTTTTAGAAAAAAAATCAGGAAAATAATTTGCGCTTATTTATGTGATTCGGATACAATAGTTTTTGGAGGGAGAATGTAGTACGATGTGCTTTTTTTACGTGTATACCTCTGTGCAGGTAACATTTGTTTATGAACTCATCTATTTTTTACTATTACTATTTTTGGGCTCCCGATACCTTGATACAATATTTTCTTCAACAGAAGTTTACATCAGGAGAACATCAATAGAGTAAAAAAGAATTATTTGTTTCCTATCCACTCTTTCTTGTGTTATTTATTTATTTATTGTCTCTCTTGTTCTGGGCCCTTAACCGGCTTTTGTCCAATTACAGATTGACTCGCATAACGCTTTTAGAGGTCCCCTGCAGAAGATCTTAAGCTGTTCTATACTACCCTGGTATTTCCCTCACGAATTAGGAAAGGTTACCCTCTTTAAATGTTCTGTAAGCTGTTGCGAAACTTTCTTAAAGATCGCTTGAAGCTCTTAAAACCCACTTAAAACTCTCCTAGAGGTGGTAACTTGAAAATTGTTGTAATGGTTGTTTGAAATTCCTAAATTTTTGTTGGAAACAATTAGTCACTTTTAAAATTTTTGAATATCCGTCAAAACCCTTTGTAAAACTGTTGGTCCCTTCTCGAAACAGTATCGAAAATTCGCTGGAACTTCTTTTTCGGAGAGAAAAAATCGTATCACGAGAATATAGCTTGGATAAAATGCTTTAGCACTTACTGTTACTCTTTGCACATTTTTCCATTCTTAGGGTGCTGATCGACTAATAATTGGGAAAAATTATACCAGGGGAATATAACACGATCTTCATACAGCAACTTTGAAAATTAGTTTTTTTTTCGTATATGCACCTTTATTTCCAGGAAAGGAACATCATTGAATTTTTTGTATTCAAAGAATGTAATAGGTAAACTTTAATGACAATTATTTTCATTTGCACTTTGTTACATTACTGTGATCCTAATACAATCACTTTTGAATAAAAATTATATCAAGAGAACGTAATAATGTTCATAAATATAATGTAAATACGGAAGGGGATTATTTTATAATTAAAAGTTCATATAAACAGGTCCGATTCGTTAGTGATTTACAGGGTATTATAATTTCACCATTTCATAGTTTTTCTTCTACAGTTTTTTAGCCTTTTAGCTCAAATTTGGTATATAAGTTACGCTGAAGGGTTTGGTCACGTCAATGGTAGTAAGAATCTACACGGTGTTTTTTTTCTGGGGCCAGGTTACATTTTTTACCCATGAAGTTTGAAAGTATAATTTGTAAAATGGTCCAATAGGCTCTGGATTTATTTGTTTTGGCAGTTGGTATTGAAGATTTTATTTTGTACTTGCATATGTTATAATATTATATAATTATATATAATATATCATTTTTTGAAAAAACATTGGTATCAAGATGAATGTACTATGCGGGACAATTAATAATCAAGTTTAAATATAGAATGTTTTCTTATACAACATTTTTTGAATAAAAATTTGCATCAGGACAACATACAATAGACAGTAGATAATATTCTTTTGAGAAGAATACAGATTTTTCACGCAGAAAACATCTTGATGCCTTCGTTCTTATCATATTGTGCCATTACAATATAAACAATGGTGCAGATACACAGAAATGATAGAAACTCTGCAAAGAGAGCAAAAAAGTATAAATTTTGTCTCTACTGTTAAAGTGAGGACAAGTGTAAAAGGAAAAAAATGAATAAAATAGCATCTGGTACAATATGGAGTAGCTCAAGGTTCCATGGTTGGATCAATACTATTGTATTGTATTATTTCTCCAATTTTATTGATATAATTGGCGTTTGAATTCGGGGGATTAAACGCCGAAATTTTACCACCGGGCTAGGGATGATTTTATTTACAGGAAAGCTTGGATTGGCTTTTGCAGAATTCCCCGTAAATCGTTTCGTAGCGATTACGTACACATCCAGTTCATATATAACGAACTGCCATTCTTATAAGTAACCTTAAACCCATATGAATTAATCACAAACGCCATTTTTATATCGCAAATGGTACCTTTGGGATTAATTTCCCCGATAACTACTAACCATATAACGCTGTAACTCCACAAGGAGCAGCGGGAACGATTTATTCGAACAAAAAAAAAAAAAAAATAATTTCAGCCCATTTCGCTCGCGGCCCTCCCGCCATATATATAACTTTTGCAAGGAAATTTTTCTATATTTTGCTAAGTTCGCGTACAAGACAAACTGAAGCTGTGATCACGCACTACTAGAGAGTGGCCTATAAATTTCTTAGCTCAGCACAAAAGACTGGTAGACTAGACGAAATTATAAGACATATCACCGTAGTCTTTTCCTCCCCGTCACCGTCTAGATAGCATATTACAACTAGCAATTAGTAGTTTTCATGAAATTTCGGCGTGTCTATGCTAAGCCAGCCCGAAAAGCTTGTATTCTATTAGGTTTAGACGTGTTCTGATTGTAATTTTCACGGAAAACTCGGGGCAGTAGTTCCTCGTTTTCAGGTCTCGCGAGGCTACCTGCACCTTGGTCTTTCCTCAGGATTCGACCTGGCCTCGTTTGCGTTCACGTTCCCTAAAGGTGCGAGACCAAATTCATTTTGTCTAGATTAGACACGCTCTATTTTTTTTGCGGCGAGAACACCTTGCGTTTAATCGGACGCAACGTGTTCGATCGAAATGAAAGCTACTCTTGTAGTTTTAGCGTTTAAGTTTAGCAAGTAACCGAAAGACACTTTGTAATACTAATAGCGAGTAAATTAGTATCTATTTAGTGGTAGGTAGATGAAGATGGTGATGACGACAAGAACGCACTAAGAAAAATATTACGTTCTTAACATGATTATTTTATGTACAGCTGTGCCCGTCCCACGGGCTTCATTATGTTCAAGATATATAGGTACCCATAAACTTTAATATCTTCTTCATTAGCTTAACTTAAATAGTTTGTTAGAATAAATGTAGCTTGCATACTTACAGAGCGTGCAATATTTTATAGGTAAAAGATACAAAGTTTAACTTAGTTGGCAAATCTAGTTTCTTCGCAAAAGTTATAAAGTTCTTAAGGCACGCTTATAAGTCATTTTATGAATACTTAAGATCTTTATTTCTTAATGTCTACATGTAATAAAATCACATACATAGACTTACCGCAGAGATATAAATATGTGTACTAACCAATAAGAGTAGTAGTTTTAGTATCGTAGAATAGAGTCGAATGCTGTTTGCAGATGTCTCTAATATCGTTTCCTTTCGAAATTTTCTTTCCGTTTAACGTTTTGTACGTAGTGTAGACGCCATAGAAAAAGGAAATTTCATGGATGCTAACCAGTTAGTGTCGTATAGTTTCTCTTTTCCTTTTTTTATTAACGATCGACTGTTCCTATACGAATTTACTAAGTTAATTTTTTGTTTTTGTAGATTTTATGTGGTCACTTGGAGCTCTTCCGGACGGTAAGTCGACAATTTTTTACTCATTTCGATTTAGGACTTAGCCACTAGGTCTAGACTAGCTTGCATGCCCATTTTAGGTTAGTCTGTAGCGTTTTTAACACGAGAGAGTGTCAAACGATTAATTTAGTGTCATTGAGAACAACAGAAATTATTAGCCCCTAACAATAAAAACTTTAGTCGAACTTTGTCAATTCAGTCCTTTTTTATAGACAGAATAAGAGTACCATACACAAACCATAGCAAATGCATTTTTGATAAACACTTTTTTTATTTGGGAGTTACTTCCGCTGAAAACGTTGGGGGCCACTTTCTTGTTTTTTTTTTCACTCTTTTACGTCTACGGCCACGAACGAGGCCCCTTTTTTTGACGGAAATAGATAGAATACTGAAGAAACAAAAAAAAATTAAAAACGCAGAATCTGCACTAAAAACCCAAGAAAACATTTTCCGTTGGAATCCTTCCAATATTCGTATCTCTCAATCTTTTCGATGAAAATGTTATTATTAGGTTTTTAGTGCCAGATCCTGTGTTCTGTTGACGAAAAGTGTTTTTTTTAATTATTTTGATCAACCATTTGCTATGGTAAATTTCGGAAACAGTAAAAATAATAGCAGATAGAATTACCATTCGAATTCTGAGAAAAACCTTAGATAAACACATTTGTGTTATAATTTTGCATTCTTCCCTTTGAGATGGGAATTTCACGAAATTGGAGAGGTTACACTCCAAATCATAGCTAACGATTTTTACTTGCAAAGGTACTTAGATTCCCCGCATATTTTTTACATCCACCACTTTGTATTCTTTCTTTTAAGATGAGATACTTCACAACATTTAGATGCGTAGAATTGGAAATGGTTAGACAGATGTACTTAGATTCCCCGCATATTTTTTACATCCACCACTTTGTATTCTTTCTTTTAAGATGAGATACTTCACAACATTTAGATGCGTAGAATTGGAAATGGTTAGACAGATGTATCTTCTACCTCTTCTAACTCTTAATACATGATTCCTTAGATTTTTTTTTAGACAGCCACTTATCTTTTTACACTACACGCTCTAACCCTTCGCCTGTCTAACAAAAAAAAATGGAAGTCGGTTTTTATTCGGGTTTTCCAATTTCCTTTCACGGAGAAAGTGAAAATTCAGTAATTCTTCCAGAATCTCAGGAAAACTACATAGGCCAATCAATATCGACAATAAATTAATGAAAAATGATGTATCGCAGATTTTTTGGGCCGATTAGGGTAATATATTCCTACGTTTTCAATTCTCTAAAAGTTGCGCGAAAAACCGCGAAATTTTCGAACTTTTTTCAGTTTTTGCTCTATATCTCGTAAACTCTGCATTTTTCGATGAAAGCTACTATATATGTTTTTTTAAAAGAGCATTACATACGTCACAATTTGGGCCCAACCGGAGATCTGTAGGTCAATTAGTTGCCGAATTACGGCACTGTGAAAATATGCCATTTTTTCCAAAAAGTTAAAATTTTAGACCTTCTTTCTTGCGACTCAGGAATCCTACGAATAGTAGGAAATTTAATTACCTTAAAAATTAAGGCGCAAAGAGGGGTCTGTAGAGTTCGTGGTTCTCACAAAATCTAAAAAAAATCCTTTTCGATTTGGTAATGGAAAAGAAGGCATGCAATCATTTAAAAAAAGTGAAATGTATTTTATTCACAAATTTAATGCTCGTCACAAACGTATCAAGTGATTTTTGTCGAAAAACTCATAGTTTAGGAGATATAGAGCAAAAACTGAAGAAAGTCCGAAAATGTCGTGGCTTTTTGGGTGCTACACTTTTTCCACAACTTTTCGACAGTTTCAAACTTGAGATTCGCTACCCTAATGAGCCCAAACAAAATACCTACTAAAAAATCAAATATACATCGTGTTTGTGAATTTTATATATTTTTTGAATTTTATCCAAAAAACTAATTTTTTCTTCTTTTGCATGAGAATTTTTTCGCCCATTTATCTGTTTGGACTTTTGTACAAAATTGCAAAAGCTATACCCAAAAACTTAATGGAAAAAATCCTGCCGTTATTTTTTTACATGAATAGATACAATCATTCATGGTAATCGAATTTTTGTGTGTGCAATTTAGTATTTTTTCCCTGTGGTGAGAATTTTTGAACAATCTTCAAATATATTATTTCTTTGTGCCATATTCAAAAGGCACTAACTACATTTGAATAACATCAAATTTTTCATTGTCTACAATTTTATATCCTTCCCATTTTCCGTCTTTGAGATGAACATTTTTAACAATTTTTTTTTGGGTCAAATTCATAAGGCACCAAATTTGGTTAAAATCCGACTGTTAAAATTTTTTTAAGCTTCCCCTCCGGAACATTTGGGAAAATGTTTGCAAAATTACAAAGACTATACCCAAAAACTTAGAAACAAAGGCCTACGATTTTTTTCATATGAATAGATACAAAATATCGTGGTAATGAATCTTTAACGTTCGTAAGTTTAATGGTGTATTCATCCCCTCAGGGTTTTTTCAGAATTCTTACAAAACCGTAGCTAAAAGGGTTCCATTTGTTTTTTTACCTTTATGAATTATCAGATGTTTGCTTTTCTGAAACTTTGTGCTCCTTTGGATGGGAATTTTTGCAAAATCGGATCAACGGTATCGATTTTTTTACGTCTCCAATTTTTAAACAATTTTTGCGTACCAGGACCAGAAACTTATTAAAAAATGTCATTTGCCCTTTTTCCGGTACAGGACCTCTCCATTAACCCCCGGGAGATAATAACACCTTGACAAAAACTCCCATATGGCATTTTCTACAGTTTGCAGATGCTGGACACTAAGTTATTTGAAGGTTTAGGTTATTTTTCTTAATTTTCGGGGGTTATCGTTACAGTCCGGTGATTACATATCCGGGGATTATTGTCGGCCCATTGGTTTTTGTTGAGGGGTTAATTGCTAGGGGTTTTCGACCGGGGGTAATTTGCCCGGGGGTGTTGTCCTAGAGATGCCTTTTTCATATATAAATATCATTATTACTACGAGAAGTCCGACGTGAAGTAGAGAAAATTTGGTAATAATGATATTTATATATGAAAAAGGCGTCTCTAGGACAACACCCCTGGCAAATTACCCCCGGTCGAAAACCCCTACCAATTAACCCAATTTTACCCTTGGAATAACAAGTTTGACAATATTGGGAAATTTGCACCACAGGAAATTAGATTCTTTCTCTTTTACAGCGTATCTGGCTAAGGTCATCGTACAAGGTCTTATGTTTTGAAAAGAAATTTTATAAGACCCATCTGTTGGGCCCTTTTAGGACGTAGACAATCATTCGGATCGAATTTCACGTTTGCAATTTTCTCCCTTGGGACGGAAATTATTCAATAATTTAAACAATATTGGAGAGGATACACCACAATTCCACAATTTTCTCATGATGAGGGGATTTGTCCCAAAAGCAAATTTTAAAAGTCCCATATTTTAAGGGCCCAAAATTAATAATCTGGAAATTTTGTATTATATGCCATGGGAAAAAAAAAATGATAAAATAGTAACCCTTCAGGAAACCTCGGGCCAAACTCATTGAGGTCAAAACACTAAGTGCCCTTTTTCATGCACTCCCCAATGATACCACCTTCTCTATCCTTTAGCCAGATCTGATTGCAATTAATTTATTTTCGTGATGATCTTGCACACAAATTTGTTCAGGTACTTCCCGTCTCGCAACTTTCAAGTCTCATAAATTTTTTTCCAATTTTAAGAGCCCAAAATTAATAACCTGGGCATTTTGTATTATATGCCTTGGGAATTTCAATATTCTCAAACTGGGGGTTGGAATTTCAAAATTCCCACATCAAGATACTTAGAAACCTTAGAAATTTGCAAACCTTTCTATTACTGAAATTAGTGATCGGGTGAAGGGAGCTGCAAATTCTCACCGTGATCCGTTGATAATATTAGATTAATGTTAGTTAATTAGCTGTACATGTCTAGTTATAGTATTGTATCACATATAATAATCATTAACAAGCTTGATGTGTTTTCCCTCCCGAAACGGCCCTTCTCAAAAAATTCCAATCCATTTCTTACGAAGAGGGTTACATACGGCCGACTATTTAAGATTAATTGAATCGCAATCGACCGGCAATAGTTTAATTAACAATAATTTTTAGAACACGCACATCTTCATGTACCAGCTGAAACCTTCATGGAAAACATTAGTTCTAAGCAGTTCGCAGCAGGTGAGGATTAAAATTATAAAATCATATACATATACCTATATATATACAATGCCAGGTGCATCAGCCGTTTACCTTTTTTTCTTAATTGGTCATGCATGTACTACGTAAGGTGAGAGAAACTGGCTGGCGCCCCTGCGTTTTCTTTTTATGTAAATATCCTTCTTATATTAACTCTTGTGTTTATTGGGCTGGATTTTTCTATGAGAAAGGCAGTTTTGGTTTTTGTAATTATTTTAGTTATCTCTACTTGAATCCCCACGCCCGAACCCCCGCCCACCCGAACTGTAACTTTTAGATTGTTGTAATTTTGGTGCACGTTAGATTTGTAGAGCTTACGTTCTTTTAGCACCATTGCATGGATGGCGCACTGAGAAATTGCATGTGATGCTTGTGACTTTGATGTGGGGTGGAGGCGAGACAAAGGTTTCAATATTGACCCTTTCGATTTTTAAATTAAAGAAGACGTACAGGCAATTATCTAGTGTTGCATGTGGGAGATGTTACGGCGTGTTGGACTAACAGAGTATGGAAAGGAAGGGGAAGAGGAAGAGTCCTGGAATCCTTCACTATTCTTAAATGGCAATTCTTAAGGAGCTGCCACGAAACTATCTATTTGTTATTACAATTGGCACATTATAAAAGTGGAAGGAGAAGGAAGCAGGACCCTAACCAAAATTTTAAAATCTTAGCAATTGTTTATGTAATGTTTTGGAACGGTTATTAAAATCTCTAAATTTTTAGTTTTCAAGAACTCCGAGAGGGTTGCTCTGGCAACCGTATTCACAACTCCTAAATTTTTCGCATTGTGGAGAACTTTGGAACTCTTCTAAACGCTTGAATGGGCTGTGGGAACTTTGAAGCTCTTCTGTAAAGAAGTATTAGACAGGACATAGGACTGGGGGGTCTGGAGGGTATGGAATACCCCGCAACCAGGAAGACTTAAAGACGCGGGGAGGATTTAAAACCACCCAGCAAAGACGGACTCGATCACTCCTCTCCTTGTAACCGATACTCTCACGGTGGTATTGTAGAAATAATAATATATATATATATATATATACTGGGTTGTATTCCATACTTTCATACCCCTCATTACCCCGGTAAAACTCCCCCACGAAACCTTTAGCCCTCAGGAATATAAAACGGAATACAAAGATTCGCCCGAATCATCGCCTCTAGCAAAATCCACCTCCAGAAAGTTCGCTGCTTACGTTTCCTCGGTCCAAAATGTATTCCCTCGAAACTTCTCCAGGGTATGTGCTTCAAATTCATCATTGGCAAGTTACCCCCAAAATATTTGCTCTCGTTCCCCTTATAATATTTTCCCTTACGATTCGTTCTGGGAGTATTTGCCGCCGGAAATGCGCTCTTGGAATATTAGCCTTGGGAGCATTCTTATTACCGATCATCCATCCGACCTCGAGAGAAAGAAGAAACTCATTCCGAAAAATTTGCTGCTGGTTCTCTCCCAAGTAAATTCACCTCCACAAAATTTTCCTCCCCCTCTTAGGCATTCGCTAACAAAACTCTCCACGAATCGCCGGTGGATGGTAAATTTCTCCGAATGTGATATTTTGGAAGGCTATTACCGCATACGAATTTTGGGATATTTTTGATTTTCCTTCCATTTAAAGGGTTTTCGAAATGAAATCTTATTCTATACCCTCAGACCCCCCGGTCTCTAACAACCCTATTCGTAACTCCAAAATGTAGCGCATTGTGGATTACTTTCGAATGTAACTCTTCTGAGGGGGCTCTCAGAACTTTAAATTATCAGATCCTCGTTTGTAAAGAAGTATTGCACAGGACATATGACAGGGAGATCTGAGGGTGAGGAATACCCCGCAGTCAAAGAAGGAAGACTTAAAAACGCGGGGAGGATTCAAAACCACCCAGAAAAGATAGATTCGATAACTCCTCTTCCTCTAACCCTCGGCACTCTCACGTAGGTATTGTAGAAACAATTGAAGCATTTTATTTACTGGAGGGGGGTATTCCATCCCCCCAGACCTCCTGTAGAACTTTTTCCTGCAAAATAGTTAGTCCTCAGAATATTGATAACAGTTTTGGGGTAAAATTGTCAAATCCTCTTCTGTAAAGAAGAGTTGCATAGAACATCGAGCCGGGGGATTTGGGGAGTACCCAGCAAAAAGGGTAAATACGCGGAGAGGATCTAAAACCACCCAGCAAGGACAGTCTCGATAACTCCTCTCCCTCTATCCCTCTGCACTCTCACGGGAGTATTGTAGAAATAACAATGGAACCATTGCATATATTGGGAGTGTTCCAGATCCCCCGGTAGAAACCTTCCTACGCCAAATGTTTATCCCTCAGAACACTGAAGGGGAAAATGAACAGATCCTCTTCTGCAAAGACGAATTGCATAGAATAGGACCGGGGGGAGGATTCAAAACCACCCAGCAAAGACGGACTCGCTAACTCTTCCCCTTCTAGTTCTCGACACTTTCAGGGGAGTATTTTAGAAATAACAATAGATCCATTTTATATACTGGGGATATTCCATACCATCTCATTCCGACAATTTGGTGCTGGCCCTCTCTCCCTCCTGATGGGCCATTCACTCAATAACTCGCCACCGAATCCCCAGTGGCAATTTTTCCGAAGGTGATTTTTTTTTGGAAGGCGAGTATTCGAGGGCCAATTTCCCGTAGCGAGTTTACCGAAGCGAAATTACCGTATACGAATTTTGGGAAATTTTGGATTTCGATTTAAAGCAGCTTTTTGCAATATTGGTTATATCATGTTCTGAGTAGGATTGTGAGGCGCAAATTTTCACAATTTGTTGAAATACACGCAAAAGGAAAATAGGAACCTCGCAAAAAATCTTCATCAAAACCTTGCAACATTCTTACGCAAAGTTCCATAAGGGGTCTTTTATCGTAGGTTTTGGCACATTTCTGTAGCCTAAAAACTTTACCATATGTAGAGACTACCTTTTCGGAGCTAACCGACGTTTTATGGAAAACATTAGAATTGAATACATTAAGCTTTTTTTTTTAAATTGCATATTCCCACCCAATAAAAACACGGTTTTGGTCTTCCTTCTCTTTCCATGGCACCGCGACTCATTAGCAGCCAACGGTATTTGCCAGTTATGTGCCAGTTGGAAACTCGTGGAGATTGCACTACAATAGGCAAAACTAGTGTGTTACTTCCGACTATACAAGGATGATGAAGATGCTCGAACGTTCTACCCAGGATGGATTCGAGGATTGTGAATCCAGAAAATTTGCCGGAAGAAAAGAAAGTGGCCGATTTAATCAAATGCTTAGGGGGTGTAGTTATATTAGCTGAAAATAGGGGTTAATTTTGGGACTGCTTAGAAGTCAATTGACCATGGTCTGAAATTGCCAATGCCAAAGTTATTCTTCAGACCATGGCTAACCACAATTTAGACTGGGTGCTGTTACCATTTTTTTCTTACTGTAAACGAACCGTTTGCTTAACAATGTCTTTCTTCTGTTTCAGGTTTTCCGGCAGCCGCGTACGCGGCCTACGCCGCCGGTCGAGGTTACTCGGGCTATCCTAGTTTCGGACTACCGTACCCAACAGGTAATGCATTGGCTAATTTACATCACCACCCGTTACCGCTGCTTCCGTACCCGCTCGAACACCTAGGAGTGTACGGCGGTGCGGCAAGCCTGCATGCCATGCCCCTGTGAACAACACGCGTCCATATCTGCCTACTCTATACACCATCTAGATATGTTAAATTAACCCTCTCTATCTTTCTCTTCTCTGTCTGTCTGTAATTGTCCACAATTAGCTTGAGACGCTTTTATTAGTCCTTTAGCCATATCTAGCTGGTGATACACGGTAGGGCTTTATCATCATTATCGAAATCGACCTAACCAAACGTAGTGTAGTTCACTAACACATCTCCAGGTAACGTTCGATTTGTAATAATAATAACTACTACTAATTTAGGCAGTTGAAAAAAAGACATACGGTAGGTAGGTGTAGTCTTCTTAGTGTAGGGCTAACTGTTAGGTTAGGGTTTCTTGTGTGTAGTGTCGCCCCTCCGGCCCCCCAAAACCAATAATCGGCGGATTAGTAGATTATTTGCGAGCTGTCCATATCATTCCATTTTATACAGGGTGGAGACTCAGCACGTACCGGAAACGCGCGTACCGAGTTGAGCCTTTTAACGTACATTTATTTAAGCCTACCCTGATGATAAGTAATAAATTGTTATATTGTTGATTCGTTATTTTTGTAATTTCGCAAAAAAAGATGTATACTTATACAACATTCGTTACGCTTATTCGAAATATATAATTTTTCACGTCAGCACCTCGATGCCTCGAAGCAGCCGTTGCGCGGCCCCGTCCCGTGTCCCTCCGTTCCAAGACACGCCGCGGATGGGTCTTCTTAGGATTGATTTTTGGCACGTGACATGTGCCAGCAGGTTCTTCTTCTCTGAGCGAGTTCACAGGAGCATGGTAGTAGGTGGTAGGTGATAACGCACACGTCCGAACTAGGCGGTCCCAAACGCGGCGCGCGCTATGTTCGATATTTTTGTACTTTTTAGTACTTTATTGTACTTAGCACTTCCGCTGGCGCCATTCATTTTGACTCGCTTTTACTTACCGCGTTAAAAAAAGTCATAAAATAATGAAAAAAACCCTTATTTATATTTTTTTTATAATTACTGTCTTTTGCTGTTTTTGCATATTCACATCTAAGCAATTTGTTGAAAGACATTGCTAACTTTTTGCTGATTATCAATAACTGATTTGTCCAACTTCAGGACCTGTTGCATTTTTTAAATTTACAATTTTTATTTTGATTATTACAACGTGTGAATTGAGCTAATTGAATCGCACTATACATCTATTACATTGATTAGGTTTTTAATGAAATTTTTATTAGCACACGGTCTTACATTCCTTTTATTTTTAATGGACTAATGTATGAATGATAAATGGGAACTTGATTCTCTCAAAGAATCCAATGAGTTCGGGCTGTTAATAAAAGAGAGCGACATTTTTTTAATCGAAATCTTATTACACTCAAAATGGATGGTACTGTACTCGTGTAGTATAATTTCTTTAAGCAATAAAAGAACAAATATTGATTACACTCCATTTGAGTTCGTGGTTCCTCTTGTTATCAGTTCAAATGCGAATTCATACTTCAAATTTGAACCTAAATTTCAATTTTGGTGTATGAACTTAAACCATTGCGAAAGTTAAAATGGAATGAAAATTTAAGCAGTTTTCCTTTTAGGAGTGAATTTTGAGAGTCGAAAAAGATCCAACCTTTGAAATTTCAGGCTTTGCACTTTTTTTTTAATTTTTGGGAGTAGTTCTCCATATTTAAGAATAATAGAGACTTCCATCCAGCGCCTTTGTGCGGTTATATGCTTGACTCCTCAATTTCAATACGATTTTAAAATGTGGGAATCATTTGAATCTGCACTTTTCGTAGAAACAAACAAATACTCTTTACATCGACACGGCTTATTAGTTCGAAATTCCAACCCAAACTTTAGGTGAAACGCAATCCTTATTTTTTAAATTGGCATTCGAACTTTTAGCTGGACTTTGGAAATTTATATAAATTTATTTCAAGTAAGAATTTGACTCGCATTGTTACAATCATCGATTTTATTTATCCGTTCGCAAGGTTCCTCATTATCATAACGTTGCCATACGAGTTAGTAACATCAGAATAATACGGTTTAAGGTGTTGAATAATTTAAATTGATTCGGTAGTCGCCCGAAAGTTTTAAGCAAACTGGAAGGTGCGAACTTGATATGATGGGAGTTCATTCTTTTACGGCTTAATAAATTAGACCTAACTATTTGCCGAAGTGGCTGTGGGCCTAATTTCAGCAGCGCGCCGATCGAAAGCGGTAATTAAGCCAAATGCGCTTACGGAAGTGCTATTTACTGTCGTCCTTTAATTATGCACCTGCAAGCATTCGACTGTTGCCGTGCATTTCAATAAAGGACACACCTCTTAACTGTAACGTCTTTAATTGTAATTAAATGCGTCTCGTTGTCGCTTCAAAGTCAAGTCCGTTATTGATCTGCACGACGAAACCTTATACATAATATGTGCAATTCACGCTGAAACTGTGTAAAAGTGATATTAATCATTATTATTATTATTATTATTACTACTATATATACATATATTAATGTGAATACGAATTTGCCAAAGATGGTATTATTGAAAGTAAGGTGTATGACTGTCTCTTATTATTACCACTTAAGTATTATTGATGTTTTAATCTCACTCGAGATTGTTGCTCGTTGCAAATCAACGAAAAGTTCTAAGCAAGATGTGAAGAGAAATAAACAGCTGTATTATTAAGAACATCGCCTGCATTTTTTTTTACAAATTCATTTGCGTTCGCAAGTTCACGCTTGAGCCATGTTCAAGATTGTATTGCCCTAAACGATACCCCAGGCCGTACCTTTATAACTATTGCAAGAGTTCATTAAAACGACCAGCTCGCGCGCGCGAATCCAGACGCCTTTTTTTTCGAAAAATTCCCTTCGCATACGGAAAAATCCTTTTTTATTTTCTCCTCTTTCTTTCCATTCAGTTACGGAAACGCCTCCACCTACAAATGTTCATACATATTTCATTGCGCGTTGCTTTTCAAGTTATACGCATATTTAAAGTGATAAACTTTGTTCGTTGCGATTTTTATATGCTGCATATCGTTTGGGACGAATCTGTTTTACTAATCCACTTATTATGTTCGCCTTTAAACTAAAGACCAAATGTCCCGATTCAAAATTTTTTGATTGATTCCGTGTTCTGTTCGTAATGTGTGTAGAAAAGTGTAGAGGATTTGAATTATGTCTATGCACTTATTATACTTTGCACTTGCTTTAATTACAATTGACTAACGCGCGACCTTGACATTGAACCACTGCACAATACGTAGTTGTGGATTAGAACCAACTTTGGATTAGTAGTTGCGATTGGCGAGGAGTGATTTAAAAACCGTCGTTGTTTACTTTTAGATTTGGTCTTGGCGCGCGAATTGGGATAGCCGCAAACGGATCGGGTAAGAAACAGGAGAATTAGAACAGGCCTTGTGTTTATTCGAATTTTTTAAATCTTAAACTGTTAATATTTTCCGAACACCACCTGTAGTTCGTGAATGAAACTTATTTCAAGCGGATTGTCAGATTTGGTAGTCCAAAATTTAAAAAGAGAATTCGTAATGCTTCTTCAAAGCCGGTTAGCCACGGGAAATGATGATTTATGATATCCAAGCGTTTCACAGCAAGAGCAACATTTAGCTCTTCATCCAAAAGAAGAAGAAGAATGATAATATTTAATTTAATACAAAGAAGAACCATGGACTTTTTCGTATATAATTCTTTTTATGTATCAAGTGCTTTTTGGTTTTTTTAGAAGGAAATTCTGCACATTAGTCACAGGAACATACAGGGTTTGTCCTAAAAATAATGAGCTTTTTTCAAAAAAATAGATTTATTGATGAAACATGTAATTCAACTTAATACTCTTGAAAATATTCTCATCTTGTATCTATACACCTTTGCCAACGTCTTTTCACGCATTGTAAGGTCTCTGGAATGCTGTTGGGATACCTAGTCGTTGTTTTTTGAATGTTGTCCAGGGTCTCCAGATGCTTTCCATTCAGCTCCTTTTTCAGCCTTGGGAACAAGAGAAGTCTCCCGGTTTTTACACTATTGGAGAGAATTGTTACCCTATAACAAGAAGTGTACTAAAAATTTAGTTTTCGAGGACAATTTGATATCTTCTATATATGCCATTTTCCACAATTCGAACAAAACTTTATTTCCTAACACGAGACCTTTTTCTACCATTGGAGATGGCAAAACCACTAGGTGCTATTTTGCACCGTTGAAAGGAAATTTTGAAATTTTTAGTTCAGTTTTCCAGGTGCAAATCTTGATCTATTTTGCACTAAAGTCAAAAGTTTTTCTCTATACATGCCGTTTTTCACCAATGGCACGAAACTTTGTTTCCTAATACGAGACTAGTTATACCCAAATTATGTACCGTTTTGAACCATTGGGGGGAAGTTATGTTCCATAACAGGAAGCGATTTTTTGGAAGGAAATTTTATTTCAGTTAGTAGTTTTAGGGAAAACTTTTTCATGTGCTGTTGTGCCTACCAGGTGCAAATTATGCGATATTTTGCACAATTGGGTCAAAAGATTGCACACTGTTTGAAAAGAGCGATACTAAAATTTTGCGCCCTAATAGAAAACGAGTTATAACTAAATTTCAGTTTCAGTTAGTAGTTTTAGGGAGTCGAGAACTTTTTCATATGCTGTGCCGTTCACCAAGTGCAAATTTTGCGCTATTTTGCACTATGAGACCAAAAGTTTGTACCCTATTTGAAAAGATCGGTACTAAAATTGCATGAAAAAAATTTGCACTTTAATAGAAAACGAGTTATAACTAAATTTCAGTTTCAGTTGGTAGTTTCAGGGAGTCGTGAACTTTTTCATGCTTTTCCCTTCACCAGATGCAAAATTTTGCGTTATTTTGAACCGAGACCAAAAGTTAGCACCCTATTTGAAATGAGCGGGATTAAAATTTCGTCAAAAAAATTTGCGCCCTAATAGATAACGAGTTATAACTAAATTGCGGTTTCAGTTGGTAATTTCAGGGAGTCTTTTTCATGTACTTTTCGGTCTACCATGTGTAAATTATGCGCAAATTTGCACCTTATTCGAAAAGAGGGTTACTAAAATTTCCTGAAAAAAAATTTGCCCTCTAAAGGAAAACGGGTTATAACATCATTTCAGTATCAGTTGGTAGTTTCAGAGAGTCGTGAACCTTTTCATGTGCCTTTTGGTCTACCAAGTGCAAATCTTGCGCTATTTTGCACTATGAGACCAAAAGTTTGCACCCTACTTGCAAAGTGCTATACTAAAATTCTATGAAAAAGATTTGCGCCCCAATAGAAAACGTGTTCTAACTAAATTTCAGTTCCAGTTGGTAGTTTCAGGAAGTCGTGAACTTTTTATGTGACTTTCCGTTCACTAAGTGCAAATTTTGCGTTATTTTGCACTATGAGTCTAAAAGTTTGCACCCTATTTGGAAAGAGAGATACTAAAATCTCATGAGAAAAATTTGCGCCCCAATAGAAAACGAGGTATTACTAAATTTCAGTTTCAGTTGCTGGTTTAAGGAGTCGTAAACCTTTTCATGTGCTTTTAGATCTACCAGGTGCAAATTATGCACTATTTTGCACTATTAGACCAAAAGTTTGCATCCTATTTGAAAAGAGCGATACCGCAAAGATTGACGTGACTGTTTATATACTACAAGATGTCTAGTTACAGCACATTTTGGTTTTAGTTCCTTGTTTCAGGAAGACATCTACTTTTCAGTGCGTATGTCCAAATTATGCGCTATTTTGAAGTATTAGACGAAAATTTTGCACCATATTTGAGAATGCTAATGTACCGTGACAAAATATGTTCAATTTTGGCCCAATTGAAGCTAACTCTGCTAAAAATGACCAGGTTCAAATTTTCATCGCAATGTACATTTGCTATTTCCAGAGAATTCGCTCTCGTAAATTTGTCATAAAGCAAATTCGTTGCCCAAAGCAACTCAAATTTTAGGTAAATTCATATTGAGGAAAAGGGATTACGACCTGGAACTGAGTTTACCGCAAATGTAAAACATTAATTTCGCGTTTTCCTCCTTTCCGGGTGCGAATGTCCCCTAGGAGTTTTCAATCCGAATATTTTGAAGGGGGAGCTCTTGTGCACACTTAGGTTCAGTTTACACGGCGTAATCGACTGACGCCAGTCCTACTTTGCGCGGTGGGGGCGTCTGCTACTGGCCCACTGGCGACTCCTGAAGCAAGTAGTTTTTTCGACTGGACTTGATGGTAAATATGTCGATGTTGTTTGTTTCAATACAGGGTGTTTCATTTTTTGTCTTTTTCATAAAATTTGAGCATGGGTGATACTTGCTGGTCAGAATTTTGCTTGACAGAAACATGAGTTTTCTAAGTCTACTTTGGCCCACTTGATCCTCTTGTTGAGGTATTAATTTAAAGCCCTTTCTCGTTTCCAGAGCTTTGTATGTTGTTTCAATAGCTAATAAAGCTCTAGAGGAGCTTGGAGACCCCTATCGAAGAGTTAGGAAAATGGCACTGAAAACTCTGGACATGTTCTTTCCCGCGTAAGAAGAATTATGAAAAAGTCCATGGATTTATAAAAGGGGACCGTCATATTTAAACATTTTGCTTTTAACACGTTTTACATATTTTACGTTAGGCGGGGCGTAATAAGTGGATCCCTCGAAAAACATGTCGAATTATATTGGACGTTCGTTTAGAACATGTTATTCTAGATCGAACTCCCATAACGGCCGTTACCATTTAACGCAGTTAAAAATTTTCGTCGACGAGCGCGATATTTCACAGTCATAAATTAGATAGATATACGACCCCGACATACCTCATAAATAACGGATTCAATTAAAATCGCAATGACGCGCCCAAAACAAATTGATAGTCTCAATTAGCGAAAAGACGGATCGTCCGTTTCGTTCGAGCGTCAAGATGGCGGGCGCCCCCCCCCTCCCCCTTCACCCCCACGTGGCTCAAGTGCGAATTTCGCGGGGTTCATTACTTAGGAAAGTGTGTGCCGAAGTGGACGGACTACTGCGAATCAACGACTAACGAGGGGCGAGTAACTAACTCTTTAGACCGTCTTTTAATAGCAGTCATGTGATCAGTTTAGTTTACTAACGAAATCGATGTTTAATATACTAGTGGGTAGTTTCGTAGACTAGGTATACTAAATGTAGTTTAGTTGCATAGCTAATTAGCCGCGCTAATTTGCTGTGCAATTAGAATAGAATTTTTTTAAATCGAATTTAATGTAATCAGCGCTATTCCGAACAGTAGTGGACGTAGAATAGTTAAATAACAACAGGCGGATTAGTTTGTTAACAAAGAATAGTCTTTTATATATATTTACATAGCTGATAAGACATCTTTATATATAACTTCAGTGTGCCTATAGTAGTTACGTGGTGTGTAGAATAGTAATGAGGTGTCACGAAGACCAAATATACGCGGCCCTTCTGACACTTTAGTGCCTAGTGCGGTGTTTAGCAAATCGTGTTTTATATGTACTTGTTTACACTAGCGTTTATATAGCGCTATGCATTTTATAACAGTTTAGCCAACTTTAATCTGACACGCACGCAGAACACACGGAGACACAAGGGGCCGAAAACCTTTAGCTCAAAATTTAAAATGAAAATTTCGACAACGTTGTATTATATTAAAAGCTGTCGGGTGTGATAGATGAATCGGAACCGATGCTCGAGCGGCATCCCATTTTCCCTAACACCTTCCATTCATCCATCAAAACTTCTATAAAGCCCCGAACGGTACATGTCTGCACATCTCATCCGCAAAGGTTTTTGGTCCATAAAGACACCTAGCATGTAGCGCATTCCAGCGTTGATTATGAATTAATTCCCTCTGTTTGTGTGTGTTTCAGTGGACCTAACCAATGGGCAGCTCACACCTAATAATAATACTCCACTGTTGACTCAGGCCTTGTCAGGTAATTGCATCCATTGTCTCTTCCCCCGTTTTAACAGACACTAATTGTACCTTCCATTGTGTTACATTTTCACTTTAGAACTTAGTAAGACACGCTCAAACGAATGTTGCTTGAATAGTACATTGTCTCGCTTTTTTTTAAAAAAAAAAAACGCCGCATGAATATTAATTGGAATTACGCCATTCTCACGCGGCGACGAGAGATTTTCATGCATGGAAAACTGCAGATGCACATTTTAGATACTGTTCATAAATCACTCACACGTCGCCCGTTATTTTCAAACGGTACACATTCGCCGACACCCACGCTAATACTTCGGCGCATTTAACTACGGAACTAATTATCGTACTTGGAGGAAAATGAGTCGAGATGCGATGGTAAAAGTGGACTTACCCAATAAGCTGGCTTCTAAATCTTCCAATTTTAAGTTGCGAAAGAACCAACTCAAAGAGAGAAACTCAGGATCATATCTTCATAATCAGTGCGTCAAGAACGAAACTGAATTGGTGCAATAAATGGTGGTGGTTTGTGTCAATTGACAAGGGAACAGGATGAGGATGTATCCGACACTATCCTTAACCTCGCTGAGGATTGATTTTTAAAACTACTTGACGTGATATCAAGTAATTTCAAGTTAAACTACCCCATCTATGAATTGATTCAGATAAAATTGTGGAGTATATAAAAGCTATTGCCTCATGTTGATATTTTTTAAATGTAACACTCTGTATGTCTTAAATTCAGTTGTTTTTATTTCTTTTTCCTGAGTACACTGATGTATGACAACCTATATTTTTTTAATTTTAGCCATGAAAACCTTATTTTTTTACTGTTTTTAACTAGTAGGTCATGGATTCATCCAGATTTTTTTTTGTTTATTGTGTCCATGGTGATTAAGACAGCTGAGACCAATAAAAAAATGGCTGACAGTGTAGAACATGTTATTTAAAAATGTAAAAAAGGGATGCAAAAAGTGACTTAAAATATAGGGTGTTGCATTTAAAAAATACTAAGTTTCGGTCAAGTTTCTGAAACCTTTTCACCTCGTATCTCAAACGTATTAGGCGATTTTAGCTGAAAAGTACATTTGCCTGTATTGAATTCGACCGTGAGTAAATTTTTCCTTATATGTTTTGACCTAAAGATTCCAAAACGTCAAGTACTTTTAAAATTTATCCGTTAACTAAAAAAGCTCGCTTGAAATTTTTAGAAAAATGTTGAAAATAACTGAGATAACACCGAAAAACTGAAAATCTCAAATTTAGTTTTCATTTTCCCTTAAGCACCTTCTATGGGCACGTTTTTTGGGAGAATCTGAATCTGTTGTCAGAATTGCCATAACACGCTAGATGTAGAAGCTACAGCCCACTATTTTCTTATTTCTTATGGAGGCCGTATTGGATTTTTACGGAATGAGATAGAGGACAAGAAAAGAAAAATTATGATGTAACTAGATATTGTTGATTTAACATGGCGATGCATTGAAATGAATTTATTTTTTGCTCTGTATCTCATTCCGTAATTAGCCGATATGGCGTCCATAAGAAAATAGTAGCCTGCATATAGCTTCTCTGCGTATAGCTAGTGCGTTATGGAAAATCTCAAATATAGGTAAATACTTTGGTTTTATGTTCTGTTTTGAATGAAGTACAGGGTGTCCCATTTCCAACACTTTTATAGAGTATTCGTAATTGCTGGTGCTATCAAAAAAGTAATGTAGGTGTAATGTGCTCTTTTTTCGTTAAACTTAAAATGATAAAATCAAAATTTGCAAATAAGAGATACGGGGCCAATTTCAGAATAACCCTATATTTTCTTACTTAAATGAGGTACAGAAAACTGTACAAAAGGTTGTTTATAATGATTGTTGAGTAATCTGCCGTAAATAAATATAGGGGGTCAGATAAACAAATCATCGGGCCTAATTTTAATTAATTAAAGTAAATTCTCTTATCAAAAATATAACACCAGAGATGATATTATTAAAAAGAGATACAAAAAGTTCAAATAATTAAAAAAGGCCCAAAAAATTTTTGGAATCTTTTTGAACTACTACTGAATATTTTTTTAACCTCTTTAGTGTTATATTCTTGACAAGAGACTTTAATTTACCATCTTTTGCCTGAAAATATACAGGGTGTTATAGATCTAAAACTGTTTTACTCGATTCCGTATCCTTATTTAAAAACGGAGGATTATTCAACAATCATTATAAACAAACGTTTTTAATTGTTAAATAAAATTAATACAAACTTTCTTGAACCGTATGAGAATTCAATATAGACAGTTTAGTAAAATCGTTTTTGAATTTATCTTAGCCAAATATCAAACCTTCTCGTCATAGCTTTTGTCTATCCGGATTTCGAGATAGTATTTAGCAAAATACAAAGAAAAATGTTGAGCCATGTTTTGAAAATTGAATCACTCATTCACAGGGGAGTTGTTGCGGGGGGTTTCGGGAGGTACAGTAGGGTGAAAAATTAACCGTGCCGAGAAATTGCTCCGATATCGTCCAAATGTACCCTCGAAGGGACGCCCAGGAGGCGGAGGCGCGGGTGGCTTTTCCGTAAGAAATGTCAATTGCCCCATTTTCGAGCAATTACCGGCACGATTAATTTCTCATTTTTCTGCATCCCCGGCACTCCGTAGCGCCACCCATGAGCCTCCCTTCTGCGCCCCTAAAAATCCCCAGTAACGATTTCTAAGCAATTTCTCCAGCTTTTCATTTAACCCCTTACGCAATTTTCAAAAAATGGCTCAACCAGCGTTTACAACGTTTTTCTTTGTATTCTTCTGAGTACTATTCCGAAAACCGCATTTCGATATGAACTGTTTGCAAAAATTTACAGCTTTCGAACAAAATCGCTCCAATTTCCCTGGCCTACAAATTTTGTAGAAAAATGAGTTGTTCGAATTCGACTGGGGAAAAATTCCGTATAGATCTTCAAAAGTTTGTTCGTTTTTTGGATTCCGTAGTCCAAAATCTACAACAAAAAGTCACTTCTTAGTCGATCTAAATTTTGTCGATTTTCTGTGAATCAGGTGCCTACAAATTTTGTCGAAAAATGACTGTGCTAATTCAACTAGGCAAAAAATGTTTCTTATGGATTATGTACTCTGCAAATAAAATCCCAGAGAATCATTACTGGACCTATAAGCGGTTTTGGATTTTTGTATAATTAAAGAGTTTTTTGTATTTTAAAGATTGATGAATGATGATTCAAGAAAAAAGCCGAATAAGAAAAATTATATTTACAAAAGAAATAGACTTTACGAAAAACAATATTTAAAACTACTTATAGCAGTTATGACAATTAGTGTAAAACAAACTCAACACTAATGTGAAAATGACATTTAAGTAGGTACAAATACCAACTTTATTTGTTCAAATGGAACACCTTGTATATTTTAATTTAAGAATAATTAAATTACATTCTCTTGTCAAAAATATAACACCAGATATTAAAACAGATTCAAGTGAAATGTATAAGATATTTTAGAAAAATTAAAAAAAAGTTGTAATAATTAAAAAAGTACAAACAAAATTTTGAGCTTTGTAATTGTTTTAAAAACCTTTTTTTGAATCTTTTTGAATCAATATTGAATTTTTTATCTTTTTGAGTTATATTTTATATTTTTTAAAAGAGACTTTAATATTTACATTGAAATATACAGGACATTCCATTTATTGATTTTCCACAGTATCTTTTAACGGAGCAAATTTTGAATTTACAATTTTAAGTTTGATCCGAAATGAGAATATAACGCCTGCATTAATTTTTTGATAGCACTAGCAATCACCTTCTCGCCGTAGCTTTTATAACTATAGATAATTATTTTTGAAATCGGCTTTTAATAACTTTTAATTTATTGGACCCACACGTTTCCTTGCAAATGCTCCTTAGTCCCTACTAAGGAGGGAGTCCTAATTCAAATTTGATAAAAAGGGGTAGTTTATTTTAATCGTCTAAAATGAGAAACTCGACCAGGCCGAATTTATATCGGAATTTTCGACGTTAATGGACCAAAACGTGTAGCTTCAAAGCTGCACGAAGCTCTCGTATGACCTAAACTTGCGCTTTAAAATGCTGCAAGTAACAATAACCCTAAACAAAGGGATGAAAAATGAAACTAGATAGAAGCTGGCCATTGGTTTAAAAATTGAAGCTCAAACTTAAAGACACATCTCGTTAGAAAAATGTGGAAAAATTCAAAGCTGCAATAGGAAATGTGGAATTGGAAACTGGAACTGGAACATCACACCATATACTCAAACTAGAAGAAAATATTCTCATGAATAGTCTTCAATTATTTTGAAACTATAAAGAGATGAATACTGGGTAGAGGCATGTGCTACACATCCTTAACGTTTAAATATTCACTCGCTTAATTATTTTAGAAGTAATGTGTGTTTTCATTTTCCAAAATTATAAGAAAATTGAAATTTCTCCATTTTTAAATATATTTTGCCTTCGTATTGTATCTCTGTCAAAAGAGATTATTAAAAACTTGTAAACAAAATGAATGGACCAGAGACAGAAGTAGATAGATAAACGCATGAGTTGTACACACCTCTATTTCTTTTGACCGTCTTAGTCTCAACAATTTGTAATCATTTTGTGTAATGTAGATTAGTTGCGTTAATATTTCCTTGTATTTGACAAAGCTAGTAAAATGAAGAGAGGTGGGGAGATCGATTTTTAAACTTTGAGAAAGAGAGGAGGATTAAGTTCGAAATTCTCTTTTCAGTAATGAATAATTATCAAGCCGCTGCAGCTGCTGCACAAGGATTTGGTCCCCCAGCCTCTCCTCATACGGCGGCTAATACTCGTGGTGGTTTTCCAACGTCAGCTAATTCTCCAGGTCCTACTATAGATATGTACAGCAGCAGCGCAGGTGATAATGTGGGCTACGTGCAGGCCACGAGCCCGCAACCGTCTGGATTTCCAGCGATTGCAGTCAGTCGAGCGCCCCTCAACTACAGTCCGGTAAGTTGATTTTTGTTTTTCACTTTATCTTATAGTCCCCGTGCAGAACAATCTTTGTGAGCTTCTCTGTGGCGGTTGGCTCTTTTCAGTTTTGCTCACTCACTCGGGCTCTTGGTGCTTGGTCATTTTGGCTCTGCAGGTGGATGGAACACCTCTATGGGGTCTGCTCATGAACTTCGCTCTTGTGTTTTTTTCCCAATTGCTCTATTCTATCTCCCTCTCTATACAAATTTTTTATATGCATGCAAAGATGGAAAAATGCATGCATGCAATTATCCAACCATATTCAATGGAGTATGTTGGGCGAAGGACGTTGCCCATCTTCAAGTTTTGTGTTCTTCATTTCGAAATCTTTTGATCTTCTTTTTGTGTTATATTTTGTATTTTTCAGTATCCAAAAGGAAAATAGCGTTGAAGGGTACCCAAAAGCTACCACAGAATACTTGCATAGTACTGTAACCATGGCGTTTATGACTATCATTAAATGCCACCAGCAGATAATCACCGAATACCAGGCAGTGTATGAACGAAAACCAGTTGCCCGATCTTCCCGGGAATTTATAGATCCATTTGGGAATATACAGAAATGGACCCAGACGTCGTTATTTTCAGCGGGTTGCTCTACTTTCCAACCATACGTACGGAATGGTCGGGGTAATATTAACCCCTATGCTGAAATCAAACGGTTTTTGAAGTTATTAAATTCATCCGAAATTTTTGAAAGAGATATTCTTCCACAAAATAAATTTGATACGGGGTGTTCAAGAATTCTGAATGTATGTCACATATTTGAAAATTCGAAAACTTTGTTAGGAGCTTTCCAAGGCTATACGGCTTTAAAACAAGCTGAAGTAATTTAAAAACTATTGGAATATGTCTTTTGACGCTTCCCGAATCGTTCTTGAACACTTAGGAGGCTCTAGAAAACAGTATAAGCTTTTTACTGCTTCCCTAGAGCTTTTCCGGTACTTTTTGTAGTTTGTCTAGGCTCATGTGATTCATTACAGAGCTTTCCACGACTCTTCTAGAACTTTCTATGCGCTTAGAAGACTTTACTAGGGTTTGTGTGTTCTGTCGAAAGTCGGTTATGATCCGTCAGAGCTTTCGAGAGATATGCGGTTCTATGAAGTGCGTGTAAGATTTTTGGAAGCTTTAGAAAAGATATAAGGTGTTTCTAAAAAGCACGTCAGATTTTTAAAAAGGGCTAAAATGCTAGCCCTGGAAAGTATTCTAAACGCTTCCTACAGCAACCGAACGCTTTACAGAGTCTTTTCTTTTCTCATGCTTTATAACACCTTTGAAAGGTCTTCTAGTGACTTTCAACAGCTGTTTAATCTATTTCGAAAACTCTTTGTGGATCTAATCGTGCGCTTTTTATTACAGTCTTATAGGCACTTTAGAGAGTGTTCGTCCCTTTCCAGGGTTTAACTTCCATGCTATGGGAAGGAAATTCAAAGACCTTTTTAGGTTTCCGGAGCTCTCTAGAGCCTTCTTGCGTGTTTTGTAAACATCTGGAATTATCTCCTGAGGTGCATTCTCCCACTTTCCTAAACCACCTAGGTCGTTAGCTCTACAGTCCGTTTGTGGTAGAATTATGGGACCATTCTGGTCGAGCCAGGGATCTAGGGAGCGTTATGGGGCTCTTATTGTAATATTGGGGCCTTTATAGGAGCAATATACGCATTTACCAGCGCTTTTTGGGTCATATCAGTGCTTTCTAAGCTGTTTCGTTCTTTCAAAGTAAACGGCAACTTCCAGACACTTTACCTTTGATGGAATCTATTATCACCGAATATCTCAAAAAGAATGCCAGACAAAAACAAAGAAGAACAGGTTCGTAAACAGCATGGGAATATGAAATTTGGTGCTCTTATGGTATTAGAATGTGACTCCAGTCGATATTGTAAATTAGAAATCCTTTCGTACTTTAATTTTCTGCTCAGTGAACTAATCAAGCATTTTTCAAAGAATATTTTAGAGATTCTTCAGAAATTTTTAATCACTTGGGGGACCCTATAGTTAGGTATCTTCTTGAAAAATCTTTAAACTTCTGTAAAATATTCTTCCAAAAATCTTGCTTCTCAGAAGTTATTCAAAGATTCCTAAGGTGGTTTTCTTCAGTGACTTTAGATCAGAGCTGGGCAGTATTCGATTTTGTAAATACTTTTTAGTATTTAAATCCTTTAAAGTATTCAAATACTTTGTAATTACATACTTTTATGGAAGCAGTATTTGTTTTTGTAACTCAAATACTTTCACAAATATTTAGTATTCGAATACTTCGCAAGGTATTTGAATACTTAACCTTCCTTTTTTTACCAAAAATGGACTACTCCAAAATTTCTCGGGAAAACACTTTTTCTTATTAATTAATGAACAATTCGACTTCTCAATCAAAAGTTATAGACTAGAAACCAATTTCGAAAGAAAATTCAAAGGGCTGTAACTTAGCCCAATCTTGGAACTGCTTGAAATTATGGATTCTACAGGCCACATTCAAGAAAATTTTTTTTCCGGGTCGATCTGAGATAATTTTTTTTGCGGGCCTCAAAAAAAGGCAGTGTATAACCTGCCTTTTTTACCAAAAAACGACTACACCAAAATTTCTCGGGAAAACACTTTTTCTTATTAATTTTGGTGCGTAGAATCCAATACAATTCGTACTTTTTCGATCAGACTTCTCAATCAAAAGTTATAGACTAGAAACCAATTTCGAAAGAAAATTCAAAGGGCTATAACTTTTGAACTAGTAGCCCAATCTTGGAACTGTTTGAAATTATGGATTCTACAGGCCACATTCTATAAGAAAGTTTTTTTTCCGGGTCGATATGAGACAATTTTTTTCGGGGCTCAAAAAAAGGCAGTGTATAACCTTCTTTTTTACCAAAAATCGACTGCACCAAAATTTCTCGGGAAAACACTTTTTCTTATTAATTTTGGTGCGTAGAATCCAAAACAATTCGTACTTTTTCGATCAGACTTCTCAATCAAAAGTTATAGACTAGAAACCAATTTCGAAAGAAAATTCAAAGGGCTGTAACTTTTGATCTAGTAGCCCAATCTTCAAACAGTTTGAAATTATGGACTCTCGATCGATCTCGATCTCAGACAATTTTTTTTCCGGCCTCAAAAAAAGGCAGTACTTTTAAGTTATTCAAATATTTGAGAACAATTTAGAAATGTTTAGGGAAAGTTTCCATTGTCACAAAATCAAATATAAAAATCCGATACATCTGAATACCGAACTCGATAGTCTACGTAACTTAAAAACAATAGGGACCTTTCTTATATCCTTAAAACCATGTGTACCAATTTTCAAAGCGATGGCACGTTTCTAAACAAGTTATCATGCGCACCGACAAACGGATGGTCAAAAATGGATCTGTTCCAAAATCGCTAGGATTAATTTCAGAAAGGCGTACGTATCATGTGCATTCTTAAGGATATAACTGGTATAAGAAAGGTCCTGGTAGGTACCTCTTATATAATAATATAATAATAATAATACGCGTTTACTCCCCTTAAATTTGTATATAACAATAGAAATATAAAAAAAGCTAACCCCATACAAAGTATAACTTGATTTTTTAAGTAGTATTAAGCCTTTTATCTACTATACTATTTTAAATTTTTAATGTATGTGAGTAACAAGTATTTGAATACTTTTTACTGTATTCGAATACTTTTCAAAGTAAGATAATGAAATACTTTTCAAAGTATTCGAATACTTTTTATAGTATTCGAATACCTTTGAAAGTATTCGAATACATTCTAAAGTATTTGAATACTTATTTTTTTAAGTATTTGAATACTTTTCAATGTATCTGTATCTAGTATTCCCTTGTGTTGGACGTAAAAGTATTTAGTATTCAAATACCTTTGATTTGTGTAAAGTATTTACTATTTAGTATTCAAATACTTTTTGAAAGTATTCTGCCCAGCTCTGCTTTAGATCCACCAGAGGTTCCTAAAAGTTTCTAAAATGTTTGAGATAATTCCTTGATGAGTTTGAGAAATTCTGGTATGGTTCTTCTCTAGAAATTTTTTAGAGACTGAAAAATCGACAATCTCCGGGGGCATGTGGTACCTTCCAGTATCATTATCATTATAAATTCGAATTCGCATTTTATATCACCTAGACCTCCCGGACCTAAAACGGTGAGTGCACTTCGGGTAGGGATTATTGAAAGTTATACCGGGGGCATGTGAAGTATGGAATAGTCTCCAAGGAAAGAGAAAGGGAGATTGAATGTCCTTTTTTGCACGAGACTCCATGGGGCCTAACTTTTTGCGAGGGAGCAATGTATATAATGCACCCCTGTCTACGAATATTTCATGTAGGAATTATTTTATTATGATAAGGAAGATTGTACCTATAGAAAGGCTCCTTAATACTCGCGGTGCACATTTCGGGGAGGGATTATTGAACGTTAACCCAGTGGCATGTGGGGTATGGAATACTGGTCAGGAAACGAAGAGTAGATATCCTTATTCCGCAGGGCTCTAACTGTTCCCATTCTAAAAGGCGCAAAATTTGTGTGGCGTGGAAAAAATTGCACAAAATAGGCAATAAGTTATTGGATATTTTACCTGAATTTTCTTCCCTCATGAGCCGAGTGCAAATATACCTACACGTGGTGTAAACACCTCTTTTCATTTTATTCTCTGTGACGCACAAACGATCTCAGGTCCGTTCGTGAAAATGATGAAGGTTTTGTTCTTTTTCTAAATATCGTTTCACTGTGGATTTCGGTGCGTATACGATCCTAAGACCCTTAGAGATATCTAACTTAGTGGCTGTAGAAACCTTTTGCATAGTAGAAAAATCATCATTTTAATACAGGGCGATCTTTTTTCATAGGCCAACTTCGGGGGCTGTTACATTTTGTCTGAATAACAATCATTATTGGACATCCTTACGATGGCCTCACGTTTCGTCCTCAGAACTTAAGGTATAATATACAGATCATAATATATAGACGACTCGTCACGACGAAAGACCCGGCGAAGTTAGGGGTTTGGGGGATTGATGGTTGTCTCTTTTTTGTTACAGGGCCCTCTAATTCCCGCTGCGTTCACCAACGGCTACCATTGAGCTCGAGAACTGCATAGTGTTGTTGTGTAAATCAACGCGGCAGCTACTGTGATTTTTTATCACATCTGCACTGTACATTCACTTTTATGTATATTAATTAATAATGTAGCACCCCGCCAGGCGCGGTCCACTTGTTGTATAATGTTTGGTGTAAACGCGCCGCTTCGCCGCTTCTATTACGGTGGCCGACGAGTGATTGTAAATTGAATCCGATCAGTTTTTTATATAATGGAAACAAAATCGATCTCAAGGAGTAAAATAGTTAATTTTTTAGGTAACGTTAGTAGTCGTTTTGATTTTGAAATATTTATTAACCTCGACGGCCGTCGAATACGCGGCTTTTCCTTCCTCAAAAAAACTCCTTCCCCGTTTCCCCCCGTCCCCCACCAAACACAGGCACTTATTGTTTACATCTTAATTTTATTATTATATATATATTTATTACATATAATGTATTACAGGGTATCTGAAATGGGATACATTATCCTCACATATTATTATTAAGGACCAAGAAGGCAATGGGGTTTGACGCATTGCCATATGGTATATTATTATTATTAATTAATTTAATAATTTTAATGTGTTGACGTTTGATTCGATATAGTTGTTTTTATATGAAATTTTAATTTCGTTTTTATTTTTAATTATATTCGCTACGATGATGATAAGGAAGATGTCTGACACAATGTGCGAGTTTTAAGCGATATTTAATGTATACAACCATTTATGGGTAACTTAAGAAATTTGTATATAAATTATTGTTGTTAGGTGCGGCGGATCGGGCTCGGCCGGATTGAAGTGTGGGCCGAGATTCGATCCGTCGGCCGGTCTGTGTAGCTTGTAGTGTCACAGCGTACTCCTCATAACTCTAGATCTGTCTTTAAATGAAGAAAACCATGTCTATTTGTTAGGCATATAATCAGATCAATTTTAAGATATATATTATATAAATGTTTCCCGTTACTAAATGAATATTCTATATATTCTGCGGCGGGCCGAAGCGGTCAGTCACGTAGATTAAATTAGCAAATTGTTGTCTCGGCCCTCCCGTTTTTTTTTGGTATTTGACTGTTGATCCGACCGCTTCGGCCGCCGAAAATTTCTATATTTAAAAAAAAAGGAAAAACACTCTCCTCTATCTCTGTGTGAGTTATACTATATAAGGTGTGTTATGATTTTTATTGTTTTCTGTTGTATATTTTGCCATTTGGCTTGTTATATGAATTGTTGTCTGACTGAACGCATCTGCTTATCTCCTCAGTACAAAATACACCATATAATAATTGTAAATTAATAGGTCGAATGTAGGAAAGAAAAAAACAATGGGAAGATTAGCTATCCGAATTGTCGCAACGATTGATCGTAGTTGAAGTATTTATTATATTAGGTAGACGCGCGTTTCCGTGAAACCGCGTGATTTATTTATTATAAAACCTCGTTACCGTCGAGGTTGGGCGATTTGGTGGTAGATGCCATTGTGTATATAATTACGGAAGGAGGGTAGTGGCGATGGAGGCGCCGCCGAGATTGTCACGATCCGGCGCAACCCTCCCGTCCGAAGGCAAGAACTGACCAAAGGTATAAAAATGTCAATACTAATGTCAATACAGTGACTGCGTTTTAATTTTTTTGGTAAATGCCGATGTACATGTATTCTAACGTCAATCCAGAGCAATACGGTATTTGTAGGTAGTTAAATCCAAAATAAGTTTGATTTATATTTTTTGATATCAAAATGTGTTATATTGCATTAAGTGGTAGAGTAATTAGAAAAAGACACCAGGCAAGCTTTAATCACGCAGACGCCGTCTGTCCCGGCGAGGGCGTTTACCGTCGCCGGCGACCTTAGTTCGTGTATTCCATGTATTCTCTGCTCGTATTCAATATTTAATCGTATTTCAGTCATCTGTTCGTTATCGTATGTAAGTGTACCTAGTTATGCAAAAACAAAAAAAAAACTAATAAATATTGTACTGGCTTGTACTATGTGCGTTAACGTCTGCGAGCGGCGGACGGCGTCGCGGCGGCGGGCCCGCGCGGCCTGCACATTCCAGCGCACCGCCCTCAAAAAACCTCTCATGCATCAGCCACCTCAACCCACCCACATATCAAAAAAAAGACGTGGCCATCGCGGGCCGTGCCGCCGCCGGGCCTATCCTTAGCTAGAAGTTAATTCGTCGTTTGTAAAATTATTTCCCAAACGGAATATGTATCTCGACAATATTAATTCACACTGTGAATGTTTTCAGTTGTATAATTCAAACTATATATCGTGGGCCTTACTATACACTGAAAATTAAACGTGCTGTCCAAAATTTATGATTACATTATTTTTTTTAATCGTGCAAGCGTATAGTTTGGACTTCGCGCCTTAGTTTAGACACGCGCGCGGTTCACCATTTTGTATACTTAAAGGAGCGCGTTGCGCCGTTCTGTTGTGTTACTTTCATACGTATGTTAGGATTACGTTGAATGTATACAAGCTGTATATATACATACTCTATTATAATTTAGCGGTAGCAAAGTGGTACGGAGCCACCACAATTTGTTAAGGCATCCGCCCTATCCCTGTGTTGCAACCCTATCCCTGTCTGGTCCACCTAAACCGAAAGGCGCGCCGAGGCTAGTTTCGGTCCTTCCCGCCGGATACGCGCGAACGTCCAACCGACCTCGTCGCGCCTTTCGCCTCCCGTTAAGATAATTCATTGTATTTACAGCCAAGTGGCTTCTGCAATAAAAAAGCAATAACCATTTCCTTCTGTGGACGCTTGACTTAAATAAGAATATTATATTATTAATATTAACAATGTACTATAAGTACGTACTTTAATGATCAAGATTTTACACTATGATAATAATGATGGCGACGCTAATTTGAAGATTGTACAGATAGTTTGTAAAACAAAAACAAAATGTTGTTAGCAATGGCGGAATTTTCCTGGCCAATGCTATGATCTCGGTTTTGAATCCGAGTTATTCATGTATATCTTACACGTTCTACAATGTAAATAAATATAATTATTACAATGATAAGAAAAGGTTCACAACGTGCCGGTGTATGTGGGAAATAAAATATAATGGACATTGTTCAAAACAAATATTTTTGCAGTTTTATTTCTTATCTTTATTCCATAGGTCACCGCATCTATTAAGACATTGAAAAGGTAAGTGCCGATCGAGCAGGGGGTGTTTTTATTTTTCTGCTATTCTATGGAATACTTTCTAGGTGTTGTATCACAGTTTTTTTAGTATTCTTTTATTCTTTTGCCAATAGAATTCCATAGAATAACAAAAAGTACCATACTAACAGGGTCATAGAAGACACAGCTCTCGAATTGAGGGGGTATGACATACCACCACTTTTTAAAAATAATTAAGACACGTAAGTAAAACACAACACGGGTACGGAAATGTCGAATTGGGTTTTCACTTATAAAGTGCACCACTAACAATTAAACACTTTTTTCCGTAAGAATTCCCAAAATCAAAAACTATTCCAAGGGAAAAATATTCTATAATTTTAAATCGACTCCAAACGAGTTTCAAATTTAATAAAACTCTTATAGAATAAGAAAAATTGAAATAAGGGGAGATTTTAAAGAAGATTAAAGATTGTTTTGACTTCTTGGAAGAAAATTTATTAAAGGCTCCAGTGGTGTTTCGAAGAATGACTCAGCAATTTAATTTGTTTTTAATACTCCAAAGACGTTTTAAAATTTTAGGTTTCTGTAATGACTGCCATGGAAGTTTTGGACTACCAATAAACAATCTCAAAATCATTAAACACCAATTTTAAAAATGCAAGGAAGACTCTAAAGAGGTTTGTGAACAATCAAAATAATAATAATCCTATCGAAGATTTGTAGAAATTGATGACCGGTACCGATAAAATTGAGTGAAAAAATACTATGGACGAGATTTTTGTGTTATGTCCAAAAACCCTTAGAAAGCATTTTTTATACAGTGATTTTAGGCCCCGAAATATGTTTAGCAAGTGAAAAAAGGTTCCCGAGAGAAGCACTATTTTGGATTTCGATTGTGGATGAGCTCGAACCAATAAGAAAGAAAGGTAAGTCCAAAAAGTGTAAATTCACTTCACTACCGAATATAGGCATACAGAATATTAATAAAAGTGGTCTAAAAATTCAAACCTGCCTTCATTTATTGCTAATTTTGAAAAATCACAGCAGTCCTGGTAATTTTTTCAACACTTTCAGCGGTCACTTCAAAATTCCTTTAAGGATTCAATTATAATAAAGGTCAGTCACTTATCTTGAACGGTTTAGGTTTTAGGAGATATGAATTTTTGAATGGAACCCTGGATCTCCAAATTTTTAGAGAATTCAGAATAAAATGGCGCTATTAGAAAAAAAAAGAAAATGGTATATTTCTATTTTAAAAAACCAAGAAGGCGCCAATTTCTGGTGTTTACGGAAGCGACGCCTTCTTGAAATTATTTTATTTCAATTCTAAATGGTTGATTGTGGCTCTGAACCAAATTTCAACTGCAAGCTTAAAAATTTGTAACGAATGGGCTACGTGAATTTCCTTGTCCAAAAAACCTGTCGCCTCCCGCAAAGTGTTGCAGATCGGAAAAGAAACATTTTCTCACGATTTTTGCCTGTAGAGTAAAAATTAATAGAAGATATCCAAAAAAACATATTTTTTGAAATACACGTGTGTTCCAAAATACATTTTACTGATTCCTTTAACGTAACTGGTTCAAAAATAAACACTACTTTTCCTTGTAGGATACCGTCATTGATTGACCACAAATAGAGACTTGAAAAGAGATGTTCAAATTACAAATTTAAAATTCAAAACAGCTTCTCAATTTGAAAGAAAAGTTCTAGAAATTAAAACTTGCTGCAGTAACAATGCGCTCTCGAAAGAAAAGGTTCGATCTGGAAATTTCCGTATTTCGATCATACTATATCGCTACGTAATCGTTAGACGGTCTTTTTTCTAGAAAAAGTTTAATGGTTCTGAAAAGAACCGTTTTTCTTTCCAGAGTTGCTGCTGCTGTTCCAAAAACTACTTCAAATTATTCTCCATTTGTTTTTAAAGCCAATTTTCATCTTCACGGAAATGAACCGTAGATCATGGAACTTTAATGCCACCATAATTACCTACAGCTCCCAAGTTTCCTAGGTGTCCACATAAAAAGTCGTCAGTTACCACATACTCTCGTTAAGTTCTGGCTATGCTCAAAATTATTCCGTACCAGCCAATATCGTCCTGCCAATGCGATTTTCACAATCCTTTTCGATGAGAGGAATTAACCGGCCGGTGTCGTGAAAACTGGACGGTCGGCCTTTGCCTTTCCGGCGAACTAAACGTGAGTATCGATACTGAAAACTCAACTTTTGAGAGTACGACACGAAAATTCTGATATCTCCTCTCTTTCATTCTGTTTCAAACGACAACAGATTCACTTTGTAATTCAGATATCCCATTTTATGAAAGGGGAGAAACGATGACGGCGATAAAATATTTTCACATGCTAAGCGCTTTCGCTTAAGGGAAACATTTTCAAATCTGTACCTACCTAGTATTTTAAAATGCGTAACAATCCGTAAAAATCAACGGCACGAATAAGGAGGTTTCGAGGACTTTCTGTTCTTGACTGCCTGCTGAGGTTGCCCACTTGAGCGATATGCTTACGAATAAAATGTACAGGCGCTTGTCCTGCCGGAAGCACTTCTACAGATATCTCGAAATGCAGACGTGTAGAATAGAAAGCGTTATTGGAAAGTGGTGAAATTTTGACGCCCGTTATGTTTCTGCTATATCAATTTTAGATTTAATTGCAGATTGACTCTGTGCGTGTGAGGGTAAGTTAAATAATTAATCTTATTACACCTAGGGAGAGGGATAATAGATATAAAAATGAGCATTCCCTCTACTTAAAAGATAGAAACTAGGCTCCCTTAACTTTCGATGTAGGTAGTCGTTTAATCTTGAAAGCTTTGTATTCTATTGACCAGTCGGCAAATTTTAGATCGAGAGCAAAAGCACAGGTAAATTTTAGCCTGTGAAATCAAAAAAATCGACAAATACGATATTGCATTCCATTCTCCAGTTACTAATGTGGCGATTAATGTAAATACGTGGTCAAGTACGACCTTATCTCTGCTGCAGTTGACTAATATTATTTATTCCTAAACGAAAAATCATTCGATTATGAATCGTCCATAAGTGCGGTTGTACGTGCCCGGTTCGTGTGAAACTTTCTACATTCGACGTGAAAAGGGTGAGTTTTGTTTACCTTTATGAAATATTGGGTATCGCAAAAGAAATTACCACTCTTTCCCCATCTTTTGATACATACAGGTTTCCCATTATGTATGGAATATAGTATATATATCTCGCTATTTTTTCCTCTTTTCTATGACGTAACTTGTTAGTATCCTTATAAAAGGACATTTTTCCAAAAATTTAACTTTATTATACAGCAATAACATTTATGTAGATATCCTACATCAAAATAAAACAAATGAACGTTTCTTATTAAACTTTGAAGACAACATGAAATTAACAATAAAATGGTTTCCATAGCAATAAGTGTTCCAAATGTTCGCCATTAACTGCAAACCAGTAGCCTAATCTATCACGAAAAAGATTGACAAGAATTTCAGAGCTGGGAAATCTTGTTGTAGGATTCTTCTTGTATTAATTGCACTAATTCGTCCAGCTTCTGAGGTGGGTTTGATTTTAAATATCCCCATACGAAGAAATCACAAGGTGTTAGTACCGGAGAACGGAGAGGTCACTCCACAGACCCTCTTCTGCCTATCCAACGTAATCGAAAAGAGAAAAAAAATCTTTAACAAAGGAACCTATTGAAAGGGTATACATTGCTATTTTAAAAATCAACTATTTTTCGTTACTCACTTGTTTTCTGAAAAAAACTGAAAAACAACTGAATGCTTTATCGCTAAATCTCCATGTATTTCTTTTGGGAAATTCTAAGGTCCATTTTGGTACTTCTTGGATCACTCCGGTCATGTACGCATACCCACCCCACGCCTTTGCCCAGCATCATCTTGAACATGTTGACAAGACAGAGCTTTTTTTAAATGGAACCCCCTGTATAATAATTTCAAGTGATTATAATTTTTAAGGGCCTCTAATTACTGAGAGGCTTGAAAATGCGAAAAACACTGTATTAAAATTGTTGAATTACAAAAAATATGTGAGAGATAAATATCGACATACTTATAGCGTTAAAAAGGTAATAAAATCCTACATTTTATGCTATAAAGGTAGTTCCATTTAAAAAAATCAAGTGACCTTTGATTGAAAATTGCCGGAGTGATTTTTCTAACACAAAGAAGTTTAACTTTAGTCGTTCGGCGTATGTATTTGAATACTTTGAGAAGTATTCGATTACTTCGCATAGTATTAAAATACACTTAACCTTCCTTTTTCGATCAGACTTCTCAATCAAAAGTTATAGACTAGAAACCAATTTCGAAAGAAAATTCAAAGGGCTGTAACTTTTGAACTAGTAGCCCAATCTTGGAACTGTTTAAAATTATGGATTCTACAGGCCACATTCTATAAGAAAATTTTTTTTCCGGGTCGATCTGAGACAATTTTTTTTGCGGGCCTCAAAAAAAGGCTTTTTATTATACCTGAATCACAATCTCCGTTTTAAACACTCAAATGCGTGGGAAAAAGGGCCTTTAAAACACACGTGCTTTAAAGTTGCTAAGTAACGATACTTCAAGTATGACTTTTGAAACTGTCATCTGGATTAAATAAAAAATCCTCTTAGGTCGCTTTCTGTAAATGCAGAACATTTCTTTGGCTTGTACCTAACCTTTGGGTGAAGGTTTCACAAACGCGTGTAATTTAGCATATGCTTCCAAATCTGTTCCACTTTTATTCGCAGTATTGTTTGAAGTTTTGAGTTAATGCACCAAAAGATAGGAGATTTAAATACCTTTGACATTTCCTTCATATATCCCAGCATTATCGATGCATTTAAGACTTTATTCGTAAGTAACTTCCTTTTCATCCATGGAAACAACTTTTCATATTCTTTATAATAGGCTTTACTAGATTTGGATTTTACACCTACCAACGTTTGTTTAGATTTTACAACAAGCGATTTAATGGACGGTGTATTATCTTTTTCAATGGAAATCGTTTTATTTACAAAGACGATGATTTTTATAAGCAAACGTCAAGTGACATTTCCATGGCAATCGTGAAATTTCGAACACCCAGCCCACTTAATTAAACATGTATTCGAGTGTAACGTCAATATGATTTCATTGTATTTCCTATTTTTAAATTATACTGCAGGTATAATAAAAAATACTATAAGATACACGTGTATAATTGGTCTTTAAAGCACTTGCAACGTTAAAAGCACTCCGCTTTGCGTCGTGCCCTTAAACTCGTTGCGCGTGCTTTAAAGACTTGATTATACACTTGTATCTTAATATACTATTTTTACCAAAAATCGACTATACCAAAATTTCTCGGGAAAACACTTTTTTTTGTTAATTTTGGTGCGTAGAATCCAAAACAATTCGTACTTTTTCGATCAGACTTCTCAATCAAAAGTTATAGACTAGAAACCAATTTCGAAAGAAAATTCAAAGGGCTGTAACTTTTGAAATAGTAGTCCAATCTTGGAACTGTTTGAAATTATGGATTCTACAGGCCACATTCTATAAAAAAAATTTTTTTCCGGGTCGATCTGAGAATTTTTTTTCGGGCCTCAAAAAAAGGCAGTGTATAACCTTCCTTTTTTACCAAAAATCGACTACACCAAAATTTCTCGGGAAAACACTTTTTCTTATTAATTTTGGTGCCTAGAATCCAAAACAATTCGTACTTTTTCGATCAGACTTCTCAATCAAAAGTTATAGACTAGAAACCAATTTCGAAAGAAAATTCAAAGGGCTGTAACTTTTGAACTAGTAGCGCAATCTTGGAACTGTTTGAAATTATGGATTCTACAGGCCACATTCTATAAGAAAATTTTTTTCCGGGTCGATCTGAGACAATTTTTTTTTCGGGGCTCAAAAAAAGGCAGTGTATAACCTTCTTTTTTTACCAAAAATCGACTGCACCAAAATTTCTCGGGAAAACACTTTTTCTTATTAATTTTGGTGCGTAGAATCCAAAACAATTGGTACTTTTTCGATCAGACTTCTCAATCAAAAGTTATGGACTAGAAACCAATTTCGAAAGAAAATTCAAAGGGCTGTAACTTTTGAACTAGTAGCCCAATTTTGGAACTGTTTGAAATTATGGATTCTACAGGCCACATTCTATAAGAAAATTTTTTTCCGGGTCGATCTGAGACAATTTTTTTTGCGGGCCTCAAAAAAATGCAGTGTATAACCTTCCTCTTTTACCAAAAATCGACTACACCAAAATTTCTCGGGAAAACACTTTTTCTTGTTAATTTTGGTGCGTAGAATCCAAAACAATTCGTACTTTTTCGATCAGACTTCTCAATCAAAAGTTATAGACTAGAAACCAATTTCGAAAAAAAATTCAAAGGGCTGTAACCTTTGAACTAGTAGCCCAATCTTGGAACTGTTTGAAATTATGGATTCTACAGGCCACATTCTATAAGAAAATTTTTTTTCCGGGTCGATCTGAGACAATTTTTTTTTCGAGGCTCAAAAAGAGGCAGTGTATAACCTTCCTTTTTTACCAAAAATCGACTACACCAAAATTTCTCGGGAAAACACTTTTTCTTATTAATTTTGGTGCGTAGAATCCAAAACAATTCGTACTTTTTCGATCAGACTTCTCAATCAAAAGTTATAGACTAGAAACCAATTTCGAAAGAAAATTCAAAGGGCTGTAACTTTTGAACTAGTAGCCCAATCTTGGAACTGTTTGAAATTATGGATTCTACAGGCCACATTCTATAAAAAATTTTTTTCCGGGTCGATCTGAGACAATTTTTTTTGCGGGCCTCAAAAAAAGGCAGTGTATAACCTTCCTTTTTTACCAAAAATCGACTACACCAAAATTTCTCGGGAAAACACTTTTTCTTGTTAATTTTGGTGCGTAGAATCCAAAACAATTCGTACTTTTTCGATCAGACTTCTCAATCAAAAGTTATAGACTAGAAACCAATTTCGAAAAAAAATTCAAAGGGCTATGTAAATAATATACAGGGGGTTTTATATCGGTATCTCACCCTTCGCATTGAAAATAATTTTTTTCTCGGAAATTAAGGCTAATACTTCCGCAGCCCAGTATCGAATGAATAAAAAAGTTTCGTGTAATGACCCCCCCTTCGCCTCTCATTTCTTATTGATTAAGGATCACCTAAAGAATGGGCTGAGACTAACTTTCCTGTGATATGTAATACCTAACCTGCTCCAACGCTTGAAATCCCAAAAATTTCAACTTTTACCTCTACCCTAAAATTCAAAAAATAGATCTACGTCGCCAAGATATTGTGGGGCGTTCAGGATACCTGAAATGAATACCAAACGAGTCCTGTTCCCATAAACACCCTATCCTACAACAAATAACAGGGAGGTGCAGAGGCCGAACTGCAGAAAATTTCCCTTTACACCCTCTTATACCATCGCAAATAAAAGCAAGAATCGCCACTAAACACTACTTTATGGTGGTCGCAATTCATTCCAACTTTCCTATCGGTGTCGAGCAGCAAGTGGTAAGTTTATATGGGGTTCAGGTTCGATACTATTTCAACGCTAAAACATAAATTGTTTGAAGGATTAATTAGCACTCTATTGGTCGGTCTCTTAATAATTCGCCAGCCCCACCTAATAGAATCAAACTACTCTAAAGTACGGTTTAATTTCGTGGCCAAGTGCTGATTATAGGGTTAAAATTTAAATTTAAAAATTCTGTATGCATTATAGGTAGTCAATACAGAGGGAAAAATTGTGAACAACATTTAAAAATTGCGGCAGTAATTAAACATGAATCATAGAGCACGGCCTCTTACACATTTTCGTGCAACTAACTACACCTTTTGGCTAATGTTTTTTTTAGATATTTTAAAAAGTCTAAGATGCTGAAAATTTGTACAAAATCCTACATTCTGAATGATGACGTTTTCAGAATGATAGAAGTTCTTGAATTTCGTTCCCTTAAATTTTCAAAATTTTAAAGATTTAGGTACCACCATTTAGTAAGCTCAGTATGTTTGAATCAAAATAAATCATTTGATGGCGTTTCACTAGTAACTTAATTCTGATGCAAATTTGTTGCTGGAAACTTAAAATCGAGCTTAAAATATGCTTAATATTCAGAAACATGGTCTTTAGGAACGAACTAACGTGTGTAGCAAATTTTGGTACTAAATTTTGGGTTTGTTGCAGTTGAGGTATCGCAAATGGGATTCCTTTAAGTCAATGCCGAAACCTCCACAATAAATGTGCACAAGAAACCAAAATCTATAAGGGAAAAGACGCTCGTTATGTCTCTGCTATATCAATGTTAGATTTAATTGCAGATTGACTCTGTGCGTGTGAGGGTAAGTTAAATAATTAAAGTTATTACACCTAGGGAGAGGGTTAATATGAAAATGAGTATTCCCTCTACTAAAAAGACTAACGCTGTAGAAAGTTTTGTATTCGACTGACCAAAATCTAGAAGATTTCGGACAAGTCGACAAATTTGAGATCGAGCGCAAAATCATAATAAATTTTGGCCTGTGAAATCAAAATGTTCAAGGTACCACAAAATGCCCTATAGTCCTTTCCTACAGGCCGAGGTCTTACAGGTGAAATTAAGTAAAAAAAGTCGACAAATTTTATATAAACGATATTGCATTCCGTTCCCCAGTTACTAATGTGGTGATTAATGTAAGTACGTGGTCAAGTATGACCTTATCTCTGCTGCAGTTGAGTAATATTATTTATTCCTAAACGAAAATCATTCGATTATGAATGGTCTCGTAAGTGCGGTTGTACGTGCTCGGTTCTTGTGAAACTTTCTACATTCGACGTGAAAAGGGTGAGTTTTGTTTACCTTTATGAAATATTGGGTATCGCAAAAGAAATTTCCACCCTTTTCCCATTTTAAAGGGAACTAAATTGACTCTTTGTGCTACCAGACTGTGCTCAATGAATTTGATCTAGCACCTTCGAATCGTTTTGGATTATACGCACCAAAATTAATAACAAAAAGTGTTTTCCCGAGAAAGTTTGGAGTAGTAGATTTTTTAAGAAATTAAATTTATGCTTATACCGGATGGTGCCTAGCGCGACGCAGCATAGGGATTCCAATGGTAATTTCTTTATAGTCAGTTCCTAGCTCCCCTAATTATTTTAGAGCAAAAGTCTAAATACGTTTTTTTAGAGAAAAAAATACTGCATCTGTTCATACTTTTAGTTATAATTTTCTGTTTTTCAAAACCGTAGAAATCGACAAAATAAAAAGGTACATTTTACAATAAATCAAATATGCCTTGGAATTACCTAAAAAAAACAGCGATCACGTTTCATGACCTTGCCTATGCTGCGTTGCGCTAGGCACCACCCTGTATGTACCTACACGTAGATACAGGGTGCCCACTATAAGTGGAATATAGTACATATCTCGTTATTTTTTCATCATTTCGATGGTAGTAGGTATCCTTATACAAGGAAATTTTTCAAAAAATTAGAATTATAATTAAATATCTAGATATCCTACACCAAAATCAAACAAACGAACGTGTGCGTTTCCTATTAAACTATGAAAACAAAATCAAACTTTAACATTCACTTCAAGGCAGTGGCCTAACCTATCACGAAAAGATTTAAAAGAATTTCTGAGCATGCTGGGAAAACTTGTTGCAGGATTCTTCTTGTATTAATTGCACTAATTCGTCCAGCTTCTGAGGTGGGTTTGATTTTAAATATCCCCACAAGGTGTTAGATCCGGAGATTCTTAGAGGCCACTCCACAGACCCGTTTTTGCCTATCCAACGGAAATACTTGTTACATGTTACGTCATCGAAAAGAGAAATCTCTATCAAATAAGCTTATTGAAAGGGTACATTAGAAAAAATTCAATTGTTTCGTTACTCATTTGTTTTCTGAAAAAACCGAAAACAACTGAATACTGCATTATTATGGGAAATAAAATGTTAAAGAGCTTTTATATAGATAAATTTTGTATACAAGTGGGATGGATACTCCGTTAAAAAAATTAGTACCACATTGGGTCATGAGTCCAGGAGCTGCAATAGTTCTGGCTCAATTATCGCCAAATCTACATGTATTTCTTATGGGAAATTCTAAGGTCCATTTTGGTAGTGCTTGGATCACTTCGGTCATGTACGCATACGCACACGCACTCTTGGCAACTACCAAGACGAACCTTAGAAATACATTGGGATTTGGTGACAATTGCCCCAGAACTATTGCAGCCGCTCCACTGTTATGTGATACGTTACATTTTCCATCTAAACCTACCCTTAGTTTTGATTTCCGTTGAATTGATACATTTCAATTCAATTGTCAGAACTGTAGTTACTATACTTGGATTTCCAGTAATCGAAGTAAGCTATTTAAATTTTTTAGGGGTGGTTTTTAGTGTTTATCTCCAGACATATTCCTTTAATTGCACGATTGAGACTATACGCAGGTATACTACGTTCGATGTCGTCTTACCGAAAAGTGTAATGAAAGTGGTAACGTAGACGCCTTAGGGGGAGAATGTAACACTGGGGGATGTGGAAAACATTCAATATACGCAGAGTATATTTACGTGAGTATACGAAAGGTATACGGTGATAATGATAATTTCAATTTCTTCGAATTGTCCTTTACTGGGATCCCCAGACGCCCCAAGGTTGCATTTACTCTTCAAGAGATTAGATATATGAATACCCTCCAGTAAGGACAATTTCGAGGAAAATTCGATGACCAATTTTGTCTACAATCATTATTGCCACGAGACCATTCGTATACTCATAAATATATTTTTCGTTTATACTTGAGACCATTCATATACTCATATACATTAACTTCTTCGTGTACTGGGGGGTATTCCATACCCCCAGACCCCCCCGATGCTACGTTCGATGATGTTTACGGGAAATTGTAATGAGAGTGGCGCTTTTGGGGGAGAATGTAACTCGGGGGGTCTTGGGGTTGTATTTGATGACTATTTCCCTAAAATAATCATTCTCGCCATGAGACCATTCATTTACTCACATAAATACACGGTGTCCCTGTCCATTTTTCGAGTGCCCCTATGGGGAACTTCCCGATCTCGCTTATCTTAAGAGATAGAAATTTGGTTAAATGAGGGTAAAGTTGCGAATTTTCGTGCTGAATAATAAAATCTAATTGAAATTTGTAATATCATCAATAGTTTTGAAAATATCGCAAAAATACGAAACTTTCTAATTTTCGTTTTTAATTTTTTCATGATAAACTAGTCGTACTAGACATTTCTAATTAACACATTATTCAGACACTTTTCAATGGAGATTTCGAATATGGCATCCCATTTTTAGTACCTTTCAAGATAACGGAGAAACACGTGGCAACTTTAGTTTTTTTTATGGGCGCCGTTTTTGATTTTGACATTTTGAGATTACGTCACTTTACAACAATATATCACACATGGTAGTTCAGTATCACATTTTTTCTAAAAATACAATTTTCATTTTCTGCGAAGAGTGCTTTGCAAAAACAAAACGTTCTTTTGTTGTGAACAAAATGTTGACTTATTTCAAGCAGTGTCATTTACGTTTGTGCTAGTTTTATTGCTAAAATATCTTATGTCTTTTGTTCTAATTTGAATTATAATTTTCTTGCAAAACGAAGGTTCAATTCTGTTCAGATGAAAATCGAATTTTCTCAACACAACTAGTTCTCTGCCAACGCTGCAACCAGACAGATGGATCAAACTGTCAAACTTTTGTCCACAATAAAAGAACGTTTTGTTTTTCCAAAGCACTCAATCCCAAAAATTAAAAACTGTATTTTTAGGAAAAATGTGATACTGGACCACCATGTGTGATATATTGTTGTAAAGAGAAAAAAAGACGTAATCTCAAAATGTCAAAATTCGAATAATGTGTTAATTAGAAATATCTAGTACGAATAGCTTTTAAAGGAAATTGTCTGGAAATAAACATTTAAAACCGCCCCTAAAAAATTTTGCTTCGATCGCTGGAAATCCACTGAACTATGGTGGGTAACTAAAGTTCCGCTAATTGATTTGCATCAATTTGTGGTTAATGGAAATTAAAACTAAGGGTAGGTTTATTTGCAAAATACACTTGATAGTAGAGGGGGCTGCAATAGTGCCGTAATTATCGCCAAAATTTCTTATGGGAAATTCTAAGTTCCATATCTATATCATACCCTCCAGACCCTCCGATGTTGCATTCTCATGATCTCATACAGAAAGATACAAAAAAGAGAATCTTTCATTCCACCAAATATACCTACTTACAGATTATTTTTACAATTCCACTAGTGAAATAATTCATTGATTCTAAATATCTAACCTGCTCTAACCCTTGTAATCCAAAAAATTTCAACTTTACTTTGTATGAATTATAGTCAAGATACAGGGCAAAATTGAAAACAACATCTAAAACTCTAGCAGTAATTAAATATGAGTCGTAGAGCACCGTCCACTTTACCATTACAAATTTTCAAGGGCTAAAGTTTTTTAGATATTTTAAAAAGTAGAAATCTAAGAGACTGAAAATTTGTATTAAATTCTCCATTCGGAAGGATGACGCTTTTGACGTTTTTGAATTTCGTTTTCGCCAATCGAACCTTTCTTGTAAATTTGTTTGAATCATATAAATGATTTCATGACGTTTCACTAGTAACTTTTGATGCAAATCCCACCAATCGATCATAACTAGCTATAAGCGAAGGTGCGATGTGTTTTTTGGAAATTAGATATATTGTTTGTGTTAGGTCATCTTTTAATTTTGAGAATCTGTGTTTTTTGGTCAGAGAGATAAGTGTCTTCATATTCAGAAACATGGTCTTTAAGGACGACATAACTTGTGTGGCAAATTTTGGTACAAAATTTTGGGTTGTGGGAGTTCGCAAATGTGATCCCTTTATTTAAGTCAATTCCGAAACCTCCACAAGTAATGTGCCCGAGAAACCAAAATCAATAAGGAAAAATTGACTTTTTCCTACCAATTTTGGCCTGTACAATCCAAAACGATCAGAATTTTTAGGATTGAACGACTACAACCAAAGTGATGGTAAAAAAACGATTTCCAAAGCAAAAGCAACTTTTGATGCAGTAGATTTTTGTACAGGTTAACACCTATAAGGTCGTTTCCTGGGGAATCTTACAATTCGTTTTGTAGAATTTCGGTTTTAAAATTAAACAGATAAAATCATGAAGGTCGCAGTAAAATATGCTCTCGTAAGTGGTGATTTAACTAAAGGTGGATTGTTGCGGTTATCGGCATCTATTTTTGTTTCTCTATAATGATCGGATTTATTCCTAAACGTGAATCATTTGAAAATGAATCGCCAATAAGTGCGGTTGTGTTCCGTTCGTATTAAACGCGTTTGTCTATATTCCACAAGCGAAGGGTGAGTTTTGATCACTGTTATGAACAATTACATAGATTGGGAGGGGGGGGGGTGCATAGGGAAGTGTTCGCCCCATTTTTTTCCAAAAAGATGAATTAAAACATTTCCGAATACATAAATCTGCGTTGGGTGGATGGGGCGCACTTTCTTGGTATACCTCAGCTAGCTGCCAAAAATACGCGATTATAGTATGCTAAATTCTCATTAACGATCCAGGAAATGACTTTTTCCCCTTAGTGCATTTGGCAGAAAAATTAATTCTTTATTGTAATGAAAAATCGCGTCTTGTGAGGGTTTGCATACGCCCTTAACGGTGTTGAAAATTATTTCATTTTGCCATCATAGTATCACGTATGCTCTTTTGTGATTCGACAGTTTCTGGCCTCAAATGCATGCATGCAAGGGCGTATGGTTATACTGGGAGTAGAAAATTTAACACCCCCATACACCTGTAGTAATTTTAAGGGTATTCGCAATAACAGTATCACGCACGACCTTATAATATCTGAATGGATGTGATCTTGTTACTAAAACTTAACAGGACGTGTACCTCCTCGTAACACATTAGCTATTAGCCACATAGCCAGTTGTTTCTTTTCTATAAAAATGTTCATTTTAGATGTAGGGATGTAATTACAAACTAGTGTAAAGGTTATTTTTTTAAAGTATATCGAATTGAGGCCAAAAATGTCGAATCACAAAAGGGCATACGTGATACTATGATGGCAAAATGAAATCATTTTCAACACTGTTAAGGGCGCATGCCAACCCTTATGCCCCACGTAAGCCGATCATTTTGCGTCGGATTTTTTACGAAATAACGCAGGTTATCTGTACAAAACCTTATTTCACCCATACTAAATAACGCAAAATAGTGAGTATGTCCCCGGCAGATCCCAAGCAAGAAAGTATACATACGTACCCTTTGCTTTACCGAAAAACGACTTATATCAATCGAGAAAAGACTTCTTCCTGCCGATTTTGGCTTGTATTATAATCCAAAACGATCAGAATTGAACGACTATAACAAAAGCTATGGTCAAAAAACCGATTTCCCATAAATACCCTAACCTAAATCTATTTGTTTAAGATTGTACAGGTTAAAACCTAGCTATAAGGTCTTTTCCCAGGGGATCTTATACTCGTACAATTCGTTTTACGATAAAATTTAGAGCAAAATGTGTCACACGAGATTTGGTACTATTGATTTTAAAGTCCGCCGTGTTTGAGACAAATTAAAAAACAAATGAAAGTCTTCCTCTCTTTGGTTGTGATGATGTTAGACCTATACCTAGGAATTGATTTAAAAATTATTTAATATCCAATTGACCATTGGTAGGTACAGTCGTGGTCAGAAGTAATGTCCTCCCTTAGAAACTGCAACTGTAGAAAAAGTACCAATGTGTCAGTTTCTCCGTGATTTAGTTCAATTTCATTTCAATCTTAGGCATTTTCCTCGACATGTTGAAAAGGAGCTCAAATCTCACAGGAGATCCGGTATATTAATTATGTGCTACACTTGAGATAATCTAGGGACATTACTTCTGACCAAAACCGTACATTCTGCAGGCAAATAGTATTGTTAGTTTAAAAGCCAAATTATTTATTAACGAGCTCCTAGCGAGTTTATAATTTTGTGGTGTCTGTCCGTCTGTGCGTTAGCACAATTGCTCAAAAACGAATGGACCAATTACGATGAAATTCTTCAGGTGGATTCTTTAGCAAATTTGTAGATCGTAGAAACCAAGTAGTCTCTTACATTCATTTGATAAATGCGTTATATGGGCATTAAACGTCAGTTTGGAATCAAACGTGACACCGAGATCTGTCACAGCAGTGTGTGTCAGGTAGAACGCACCATAGAAAAACGGCAATGTATTTTTTTCGCAAAGGATAAACGAGACTTTTGAAATAAGTGTTCGACGTACTACTCCAATCTCTTTCTAGCATCAGGCAAGCGCAATAACGTACGTTGCACACCAACTTCAAATACATTTCATATGCATCATCGATGTTTTGCAAAAAATGGTGCGTTCAGCCTGGTACACACTGTATGAGGTTCGTTAATATTGGACCATATTGAGGTAATAAATACCACAAGGATGAGTGGTCCTAAATTAGAACCTTGAGGGACGCCATTTAGATGTTGCTGGGAACTGAATTCGCGATACTCAACTTGTATAGTTCTATTTACAAGATATGACCTACTCACTTGCACTACATTTTCACCTCAGTTGCTTAAGACGTTGTATTATTATGTAGTGAGGCATTCGGTCAAAGGCTATTCTAGATCAGTCTGAATCATTCGATCCATATTAGATGATATATGCTGCGTTATGTGAAGTAAATTCGTAAAAGTTGAACTCTTTTTCATTAACCCATGCTGGTGAATAGAAATAGTGTAGTGTGTCTTACAATATATGTACACTACTCCGCTAGGATGGATTCAAAGATCTTACTAAAATTATTTGGTAAGGACACTAGACGACGATTCTTAATAGCACTGTTTCTTGTTTAAATTTGAGTAATTTTCTTCTTCTTCTGAAGGAGCTGGTTTGCTATATTTGTTTCATTCATTTATTTATTTGTTACGTATACTAATTGATAGCCTTTACAGCAAGATAACTGCCGTTCTTCCACCTCCATTACTGTTGATAGATTTTTTGAGTCGATCAAGTACGATTATCAGCGATCTGGACATGACAGCGAATGTTTTCCTAAATGTAGCAGCTTTCCGTCGATAGAAAAGGTTACCACGCCTCCACATGATATTCCGAAACTGAATACACAAGTGAGTCCAATATCTCTACCTCCATTAGCTTCTGATTATGATTATTTTTAGAATCAATTTTCTTGGAGGGCCGACGATTTTCTGAAGAGCGGTGAGCCGACGAGTGATCGCGATGCTATTCGAAGTCACAGGAAATGGGTGAGTTTTGATTGCCTTTATGAAAGTAATTACACAATCCATCGGGTGCCGCATTACCCCATATTTACAATTTGCAAATAAATAAATCGAAGTAAGCTCGAACACGTAGACCTTGCTTTTGAAGGAAGGGAATGCCGAGTTTTATATTTTCATCGTCTCGGTGTTAGATCCACTATAACGGGGTGGCTGTCATTGTTACAATCTGAAGTACAAAGACCTTATTTTAAGATATGTTAGTGCAACCGGGCCGTGCTCAATAAATAATACATTTTTTGAGTAAATTTGGACATGCTTAACAAGTGATATGCAGTGATATTTATTAAGACGTAGACACAGGGATTTACATGTATTGTTTTTCCTTATGTCTACTTTTAAATGACAAAATCTCTTTTCAATGACGGCTAGTTTTCTTCAACTAAAATAACTTCTTAAAACAAATAAAGATCTGACTGCCATATTAATTAATTTGAATATTCATTGCTTTGACTTCACAGAAAATAATTACGCTTCTTAAATTATTACCGGTACTATACCAATTGACAATATCAACTTTTTCTTCCGTTCAATATATCCCACACGAACGAAAATTAATCGGGGGGAAGCCAAAGCAACAATATTTAAACTAATTAATATGACAGTCAGATCTTTATCTATTTTAAGAAGTTATTTTGGTAGCATAAAATTAGACATTCTTCAGAAGAGATTTTGTCATTGAAAAGTAGACATAGGGAAAAATAATACAGTAAATCTCTCTGTCTACGTCTTAATAAATATCACTGTAGATTTCCTATGGAAATCACTACTTCAGTTTAACAAATTCCGATTTACACTATGCGTTTCCTACAATTTCTGGTTAAAGCTGTTCGAGAGAGATGATGGTTATATTGATGAATTTGCAAAGTAATCTTATTCGTTGTCACCGTTTGTTTGTTAATTAATACCTTAAAAACTTTTACCTTTTACAACTCGTCCCAATCCTTTAGAAGACTTTCAATAACGATGCCCGATTCACTCACACTGTTTCTACATGCAAGCATCCATTAGGAAGTTAACTATTATGAAATAAGCAATAAAATATTACACTTTAAGGTAAAACCTGTGATAGCAGTTGTTTTAGGAAACATTTCCCTTAATAAACGAGATAGATCCTGGAAGTAGCTTAAAATGGCCAATTGTTCAAAGATTGTTAGCAAGTGATTAAGTTAAGAAGTCAGGTTGGCAGCCCCTATATTTTGTTGCACAAATTTGAACCCAACATCCCAGCGTATAGTAAAGGATTCAGCACCATTTACCAGGGAACCAGGGTTAGACCAAGATTGCACAAAAATCCTCTTACATCATCCTTATAAACCAATTTACAGAGAGTTAACAAAAAAATACTCGAAAGCCTTAAATTTGTATGAAACGGACCAAAGTTATCCTCAATTTTATGTCTAGTGTTACACTACCCTTTGGGATATAATAGTGCTACATGGGGTTGTGCGATCCGTTAATTTATTGAAAACCTTATACAAATATTAAATCTGAGTATAGAACATATTTAAAAAGCTTTCCAATTATTGGAAGTGAGAACTTGATGTTAAGTTTCACTAACACAGCATTATCTATCTTTAAAATTAAAATTAACCCTGCCAGTAACGTACTTTTTAAAATTATCACAATGGGTTTGAACTGAATTGGATTTCGCTCTGGTTACACTTGATAGTTCTCTTTTAAAGAATGCCCTTGCTTTTCCCAACTGTACATAGATCGTTAATAAAGCGGTTACTTGAAATTAACTACGTTTAATTATTTAGTTGAGTAAATGACCGGGCTGAAATCCCGAAATTAAATAAAATTACATTACCTGACTCGGAAATTAAATTCGGATTTAACCGGAAGTGATGCCTAGTAGGGAAAAGTTCGTTTCTATCCCGAATAAAATCTTAACTTGTATCATTAATAACTATAAAAGCTCTTATAGACCTTTAAGGATTTATAAAATTTCCTTAAGTGTTTTATTCAAGTGTCTTAAGGGTTTTTCAAATAATATTAAAGCTTAAGGCTCTTAAATTGCTCTTTTAAGTGTTAAATATACTTACCCAATACTCCCGCAGCCTCTTCTTAAATGTTTTTGAAGAGTCCTGGAGACCGCTAGAGGGCCCCAAGGGTCTGAGCCTGGTTCTTAAAAACAAAAGAAAATACGGGGACTTGTGGAGACCTGAATGCTTTTCAGAAACCATAAAATGACATTGAGGGATTCGTAAAGGATCTTTAAGGCTATTTAAAACATTAAAGGGCATCTTAAACACTCTACAAATCAACTAAAGGCTCTCAAATTGTGTAGAACACCTTGTCATGAAAAATGAAAACGTTTACAGCACGCACCTTTACGGTTTTTAGTGAACCTAAAGACCTCAAAAATACTTTGAAGGATTTTAGGGGCTTTTGCATTATTGCTAACTTCTTTACACTATGCTTATGTGTAGCATACAGGGTGGTCTAACGGAAATAAAACAGACTGAATAACTCATAGGGAAATTGTTTTTGAAACCAACGCAAAAAACACGTCTTGTTAAGCTGGAGTGGGACATCTTTTACTTCCAAATGCACACCTCTGCTGTCAACTCCCTAAGCAGGTTTGCTATCCCTTCAATAATTTTAAATTGAACGTTGGGTCGAGTGACGGAAACTATTTCCTTGCGAGTTAGTCAGTCTGTTACATTTTCGTTGTGCCACCCTGTATAGTTTTAATTAAAATGTCAGCTCCGCCCTGTCCCTAGCAATTGTAAAAAATTACGGAGTAAATTTCTTTAGAACTTTGTCCAAAAAAAGTTCAGTATCTAAATACAGGGTGCCCATTACGTATGGAATATAGTATATATCTCGGTGTACATACATTTTTCTATGCGAAAGTTGTTTGACATTTTATTTCCAATAATAAGGCCGCATTCCATTGTGTTTATTTCATTTCATTCGAATTCATTTTAATTAATTTTTATTTTAAGCTTTTTGTGATAGGTTATTTCAGTGCCTTGCATTTAATGGTGAAAATTTTGAACATTAATTGCGATACAACCATTTTACTGCTAATTTCGTTTTGTCTTCAAGGTTTAATGAGAAACGTACACGTTAATTTGTTTTATTTTGATGTCCTGGATTAATGATATTGAACTAATTATAATACATGTTTTTGAACAATTGTATTGAATATTGTCAATGTTATATCCTCGAAAAGAGAAAAAAATCTCTATCAAATAAGCCTAATGAAAAGGTGCACTGCCATTTTAAAAAATTCAATTGTTTTTCGTTACTCATTTGTTTTCCGAAATAAAAACAATTGAATGCTGTCTTATTATGGGAAATAAAATGTTAAACAACTTTCATACAGAAAATTTTTGTATACATTCGATATTTACCGAGAATGTATACAATATTCCATACATAATGGACACCCTGTACAATAATAAAATATTAGGACATCCCTTAAAGCTTACGGCGAAACAAAAATACGTAGATTTAAAAAAAAGATGCCCGTTTACGAATCGAAAGGAATCGATTTGTTTGAAACTAAATGCGCGGTATTAGAGATAAGCACTTTTTCCGATATGACAAATTGACACGTCACGTATTTAATACAATTTCAATTTTAGTTACCCAAACGCGAGCGTGCGAGGTGGTTGCTTTTTACTTGAACGTAAGGGGATTGGGGTGAGTTTTAAAAGTAATTGTTGAGATTATTCAAATATTAACACAGTTAACGTAAAATCCAAATTAATGTCTATCGATCTGGATTGATTTTTGTGCAGATATAAAGTTCCAATTCTTTTTTTTTTGGACATAAATTCTTCTTTGTCACCTGTATTAAGCGTAATTTGCTTTGAGTGACAATAGTATAACCTCGAACCTCATTTTGCAGCTATATATTTCAAAATAGGAAATTAAAATTAACGAAGGTGTTCTAGTTTTTGGTTTTGAAATAATGTCATATGTTGATCTTGGGATAATTGGTACCCATAGGTCCTCCAAGGTTCTCAACTTTCAGAGTTAACGTCTTCTATCTATGGAACAATTACTTACGAATCAAAATTATTCATATTTGGTGTTGGACCAGCAACTATGTGTGTCTGAAATACTTTCAATCCGGGACTGCGACTTCTCTAGGATGGATAAAGGTTTTTCAAGTCCGTTTTCACCACTAAACTTCTTTGATCTCCATCGTAGAGGTACAATTCCCATTCTAGAACAAATACTTACCCACCTTACCATAAAATACTTGTTTGTAACAGTTTTTAACGGACTTTATCCTTCTAGCAGAAACAACCTACAACGTTGCGTGAAGAAAACTGCTGCTAAGAGGAAATATTGTTTGACTTGACTGACACAGCAGAGCGACTATTTGGGGCCGGTAGTCGAGGATCGCCTGGTCATCAAAATGCAAAAGGTAGGAGAACCGAGAATTTGTTCGATCTATCCTATCCACTATCATATCGATTTTGGTCATTACTCTTTTCCGAAGAAACTTCTACAAATTTACACTATGGATAAACAGGCATTTTTAGGTGAGTTGTCAAAAATTATTCGTTTCGTGTACCTATAATAACTCCTGGTAATCTTTTACTGGGTGATGATATATGCGATTCCAAATAACAATGAGACGTCTGCTGGCACCACTATGTAATAAATACCTACAGTTGGGAGAAGACCGCCATTTTGATAGCGTTTCTTTACTTACAATGGCAAAAAGTAATCAACATTTGTAGTGTTTACGGCTGTATAAGTAAATACACTTCACTCATTAGCGTAATTAAGCCTTAAAGAACAAGGATAAAAATATTAAATGTGACCAGTGCAATTATGCACCCAACAATAAGGATAATTTTAGAAATTGCCAAAGTTTTATTGTGAACAGTGTAATTACACAACAAAACATAGAAAAGTGTATACCTACGTCATTCTTTGACACACTCCGCTCTGAATAACTTCAACTGCTATCAGTGTAATTACGCTACAATTAATAGCCAGGAACCAATTTTAGGTTGTCATTTCAAAAGTCATGAATCCCGAACAGAGAGGGCTGCCATTAGTGACTTTTAATATTCAGTAGGTATTTACTGTGTAAAATTTCATGACTTTTAAAATGACAACCTAAAATTGATCAGTGGCTCTGCGGCTATATGGTTCACTTAAAGTGTCACCTATTAACACAACCTTCACAAAAATTTGATTTGGGATCAGTGTAATTACGCTACTCACGATGTCTGTGCGATAATGCCACACATAGTAAAAAAATTTAAATCGTCTTAAAGCACAACACATCGAAAAATCTTAAAAAGTTCTTAAGAAAAAGGCCCTTCAGATAGGATAGGACTATATTTTTAAGTCTCAAAAATGCCAAAATAAACTCAATCCACTTGAAGTTAGTACAATTTCAGGTAAAAATCTGCTAGAATAACCTTTTTACAAAACGCTCCCAACTGCATTCGCCATTGGTAAATTACACTAGACGCTAGCGCCGCGTATAGTGTTAATCTGAATGAAAAATGCCACAATATTTTGAAGCAAAATTTAATTTATTCATCATAATCTCCTTTGAGGGTCACACATTTAGCAGAATGTCCATAAAGTCGTTGTAAACGTAATTTGTTTATCTTGGCCTGCATCTCGGCCAACCATTCCTTAAAGGCAAAAACCTAACGTTTCTTGAGCAATTATTTGCAGAATTATCCAATTGTTGTGCCAGTAACTACGAACAGTCGATCTTTGTGCACTGATTTGTTTGAGTCGTGGAGATCCTGAATTCTTCCATTAAGTCCAGTCAATTTATCCCATTTCCGGAAACCATCGAATTAAATTTCTGTCGATGAAGAAATAACCAGTCCAGTCAGTAGGCGACAAATAAGGTCTTTGCCCTAAAAACCATGTTTTCGAAGTTGGGGGAGGACCGCTCGCGCTGCTATCTAGACTGTAGGGTACAGAAAATCGTTTTTTTTTTTCAAAATAACTCCGCAGCGGTTGATCTTACGAAAAAATAGTTCAAATTTCCATTTTCATTTTCAGCATCGAAATTAGACGAGCTTTGTCGTGGTGTGGGAAACACATTAAAAGTTCACAAAATGTTCATATCTTCGCCGCTGCAACTCGGAACATAGAAGTACAAAAAAAGTCTATATTACAAAAAATGCATTTGTCTTCTTTACTTTTAATTTGAACTTTTTCTTCGTAAGATCTTTTTTTGTACCTTTCATCCAAATCTTCCCTTAAGATCGCAAATATGGTTTTTGTTCCAAGGCCCATACATCAACAACATATTAAAAAATTACTACTACACTGTCTTTTGTAGGGCAAAACCCCTACTGTCGATCAACGCAAATCGGCTGACGCTTTGGTAGTGCAACCGACAGGTGGGAAAAAATGGAGCCGGTGGAAAAAGGTCGGATTTTTATGTACAAGACTTGCCTTCTATGACGTGAGATTTAATCAAGGTAGCTCCCGTGAGTACACATTTTTATTATCATTTGAACGTTGAGCCGAAAAGTTTGACTTTTTAGAATGTTATCATACAGAGTATCCCAACGAGAAGTATACAGAGGGCTTTTAGGGTTTTAAATTTAGAAATAGAGATAATTCGCATTTGAAATGGTTTTTTCTAAAAAAACCAAAACAATTGCGATCTGAGTCACCTTGTATTAAAATTTTATTTTGACGCTTCAATTTGTTAAACTTAAGTGAACCTGTCAGTTCTCCGAAACGGATCAATAGAATTTAAAAGCAAAGCAGATTAGTAATCACGATTAAATTGGCTTTCAAATAATGCACCATTTGCCATAGGATTCCATTTAAAATTTTAGGGGTTAAGCTCCCTACGTAGAGGGGTGAAGACTTGGGTTCGTGATTTGTATTCCAAAAGTTGTCCCCCTCGAATACAAAATTGACGTGTTCGAGGATTTTTCGAAATTTCTAAATTTAATAGCCCCTCTGTATACTTCTCGTTGGGCCACTCTGTATATTACTGCCCATGTAAAATAAAAAAAGTAAAAGTACCACCTTTTCTAAGGTTTAACCCAACGCTGGTATTTTTAAATGCAACACCCTGCATCCTGATTACATTGACGTATCACAACATATTATATTTTTAGCGAATTTAAAAAAAATACGATGTTTTATTCGTTATAACTGGCTGTTTGGTTTGCTGGCTGGCTGTCCGGCTAAGATCTCAGCAATTATAATAGCTAGAGGCTTAAACTTTGATAATAAAATACTGATCTGTATTACCAAAAACGCGCTTTAATCATGCATATTATGCTGATTTACAACTTGTTTTAAATTTTAGCCATGTAAAACGGTTTTAAGATGTATAATTATCTCCTGAAAAATTTTTCGTCAAAGCTAATAAAAAAAGTTCACATGTTAAGCAAATCTACGCACACACTGTATAATTAGGTATACAGTTTTTTTTACAGACTGGCCATAGAATTTTGCATGCTAATTTTTCAACCCCCTGCTAATGTTTGTCTTCAAGAAAATACTCAACCCAGTTTTGTAGTAAAACTGTGGGAGCTAATAAAGTATTGAAATAATTCCAATTTAATATCCACAAGTAAGGAAAAATCTAACAAAAAGATATATTAGGTATATTCTGTTTGCTTCATTTTAAATTTTTAGTAGGTTGAAATTTCATCTGTCATTTGCAATTTTGATTTGACATTTATAACGATTCAAAAAAAGGAAGGGAGTTATTTTCATTCCAAAATTTCATATTGAATAAAATAACAGGCTTTGCATATTTTATAAAAATAAAAGGTAAGAGGCGCTTGAACATTGAACATGTAAAATCCTATGGCCAGTCTAAAAAAAACTGACTGCATAAAAAAATGTAGGTTGTGATTCTACAATGTAATGAAGAAAATGAATGCAAAAAATTGGCATTAAGATCCTGTGGGTGTTGCATTTAAAAAATATGAACTTTGGGGCCTTTGGGCCAAATCTCCGAGAGGGTGATTCAATATTTTTTTTAACTACGCCACTGGATTCTATAAAAAATGTGTAAATTAGGCACTATATATTTTACCACTAAAACGAGAAATAAAATGTTGCGAAATAAAGCACTCCAACGTCAGACCGGAATTTCGGTCTGTACAGGGTGGTTTAAATTCGTGGCTCACCATTGTGATCTTCATAACAGTGAAAGATACAGTGTAGGTTAGATGGGGGCAAAATTGTCCCCTTTTGTGATATGAACTAAGATACCACCGAAAAACTGAATAGTCGAATTTTGCTTTCATTTTCCCTAGTCCGATTTGGATGCTTCGGAATTTCCATAGATGTAGCAGCTACAGGTTACTACTTGCTTATTTCTTATGGGCGCCATATTGATTTTTTACGGAATGAGATAGAGGACAAAAAAATGAGGTGTCATACTTTTACCAGAAAAATTTCAAAATCAAAATTTTTACATTCATTTCACAACAAAATATACACGGCTAACTAGATCTTGCTGAATCACCATGGCTATGATGGCGATGCATTCAAATCAGGATTCAAATGAATGTCTTTTTTGTCCTGTACCTCATTCCGTAAAAATCCAGTGTGGCGCCCATAATAAGAACAAAGAAAATATTAAGTAGCCCAAGTATAGCTTCTACATCTAGTGTGTTAATAATAGATAATGGGTTGTTCAAAACGTCTATGCTAGAAAAATTAAAACAAAATTTGACATTTTCTGTTTGTCGGTAATATGTTATTTATTAAAAATTTCAAAAACGTTTTTTTAATCACAAAAATGGGCAAGATGGGTTAATGAGGTAGTTGCAATAAAACACCGCTACGGAGATCTCAATGGTGCGCCACGAATTTGCTACTATCCAAAAATATCCCCTAACTTTTTTTTTGGTTGGCTTTCGCGTTCACAAAATCCCTTCGGATACTCTCTTTCTATCTTCTTTATTAAACCTTTTTTGAAAAAGCTTTTCCATTCAATTGCTGCTGATCGATTTGCATGGTTGGACAACTTTCTCTTCCATTCCTTTATTTCTTTGAGACTTCCCCTACTCCCCATACTTACCTATCAAAATATGCCTACGTAACGATATCTTTTTTTTAAAATCCGATTTCACTTTTTAGACACTCTCGGGCAGTACCTACCTAATCGCTAGCCATCCAGAATGACAACACTGCTCCAAAACCGATGGGAAGATCCAATATCCTTCAAATCAACACAGAGCGAACTACGTAGTTGGACAAAGGTTGCCTTAATTATTAGGTCGCTTATTAACCCTGAGAGCGCAGCTTTTATGTAGGTAGGACAATGAAACATTTTTTTTTATTTTCGCTTTCACAAAATCCGTTCGGATACTCTTTCCATCTTCTTTAAATCTTTTTTTAAAAAAGCTTTTCCATTCAATTTCTGCTGATCGATTTGCATGGTTTGACAACTTTCTCTTCAATTCCTTTATTTCTTTGAGACCCCCTACTGCCCATACTTACCTATCAAAATATGCATACGTAACACTATCTTTTTTTTAAATCCGATTTCACTTTTTAGACACTCTCGGGCAGTACCTACCTAATCGCTAGCCATCGAGAATGGCAACACTGCTCCAAAAGCGATCAGAAGATCCAATATCTTTCAAATCAACACAGAGCAATTACGTACTTGAAGAAGGCTTGCTTATTATGTCGCTTATCAACTCTGAGAGGGCAACATTCATTTAGGTAGGTCAATGAAACACTCCGTACACGTTTACTGGTAATTTATTATTGCAGATGTACACCACATCAAATTTCACACCGCCATCAACGGATACGTTACAGCCGTCGCGTCGCGTCGATCAGAAACACATTATCCTAAGGTAGGTAACTATTTCAATTAACTAATATTAAAATGTGTCAAAGTAAATAACTCGATTCCGTTTCGCTAGTAACTTCCATGTTTCTTTGATGTTTGAGATCAAAGGAACCTAAACAAAGTGTCAAGTTATTTATTTAGAACTATTTTTTAACTTTTAAACTAATTCATTTTACATAATGTAGGAACTGCGAGATCGAAACGTTGGAAATCTGGACCAGTCATCAGCAGTAAGGGATGCAGGAAGAAAACAACGTCCACCTAACCCCTCAACTTCTCTGGCGGGAGCTACATCAGCAGGAAGGGATGCAGTAAGAAAACAACGTCCATGTCCGGAAACATCCGTTGTAACCTAACCCCTCATCTTCTCTGTCGGGAACTACATCAGCAGGAACTACATCAGCAGGAAGGGATGCAGTAAGCAAACAACGTCCATTTCTAGAAATCTGGAAACGCCCGTTCTAACGTCCACTAATTTCCATGGTAAGTGGAAGCACGATTCCTCCCCATTAGCTAACCAAGCTTCCGCCGACTGAACTTCGCTTTTTCGTCTTCCAAGGCAAAGTTCAGAAGGCGAAGTTCAGTTCTGTTTTGTTTTTGGGGATAATTAAAGGCATTATTATTATTATTAAGAAACGATGATGGCAGCGATAAAAGCTAAACCTAATTTACAAGAATTTTTTTTTAAATTTTTTGAATAGGTAAAAAATAAAAAAATAATCAAAATTTTTTGAATTTTCTTATTTTTCTAAATTTTATTTAAAAAATGATTCAATTAAATTATATTTAAATTTTTTGGTTTTTTTATTGAAAAATTCAAAAAATTCAAAAAAATACAAAAATTCCAAAAATTCAAAAAATTCAAAAAATTAAAGAAATTCAAAAACACCCATAAGATATGCAAAGGATTTCAAGAAATTCAAAACAGTAAAAACATTCAAAAAGTTCAAAAAATTCAAAAAATTCAAAAAATTCAAAAAATTTAGAATCTGTTTCGACGTTCTTTAAAAGCGATTCAAACAATTAAAATTCAAAAAATTCAAAAAATTCAAAAAATTCAAAAAATTCAGAAAATTCAGAAAGTTAAAAAAATTAAAGAAATTCAAAAAGTCCCATAAGAAATACAAGGGATTTCAAGAAGTTCAAAAAATTAAAAAAATTCAAAAATTTAAAAAAATTCAAGAAATTCAAAAAAATCAAAAAATTCAAAAAATTTTGAATCATTTTTCATTTAATTGTTTAAAATTCGTCTCAATTGATGAAAAATTTTTTGAATTTTTTGATTTTTTTGAAATTCTTGAATTTTTTTAATTTTTTTAATTTTTTGAATTTCTTGAAATCCCTTGTATTTCTTATGGGACTTTTTGAATTTCTTTAATTTTTTTAACTTTCTGAATTTTCTAAATTTTTTGAATTTTTTGAAGTTTTTGAAATTTTAGAATTTTAGAATCGCTTTTAAAGAAAGTCGAAACAGATTATTTTTTTATTTTTTGAATTTTTTGATTTTTTTGAATTTCTTGAATTTTTTTAATTTTTTTAACTTTTTGAATTTCTTGAAATCCCTTGTATTTCTTATGGGACTTTTTGAATTTCTTTAATTTTTTTAACTTTCTGAATTTTCTAAATTTTTTGAATTTTTTGAAGTTTTTGAAATTTTAGAATTTTAGAATCGCTTTTAAAGAAAGTCGAAACAGATTATTTTTTTATTTTTTGAATTTTTTGATTTTTTTGAATTTCTTGAATTTTTTTAATTTTTTTAACTTTTTGAATTTCTTGAAATCCCTTGTATTTCTTATGGGACTTTTTGAATTTCTTTAATTTTTTTAACTTTCTGAATTTTCTAAATTTTTTGAATTTTTTGAATTTTTAGAATTTTAGAATCGCTTTTAAAGAAAGTCGAAAACACATTAAAATTTTAAATTTTTTGAATTTTTTGATTTTTTTGAATTTCTTGAATTTTTTTAATTTTTTTAACTTTTTGAAATTCTTGAAATCCCTTGTATTTCTTATGGGACTTTTTGAATTTCTTTAATTTTTTGAACTTTCTGAATTTTCTGAATTTTTTGAATTTTTTGAATTTTTTGAATTTTTCAATAAAAAAAAAGCAAAAAATTAAATATAATTTATTTGAATCATTTTTTAAATAAAATTTAAGAAAATTTAGAAAAATAAAAAATCCAAAAAAGTTTTGATAATTTTTTTTTATTTTTTACCCATTCAAAAAAATTAAAAAAAGATCTAAAAAATTTATTGTAAATTAGCTTTTGCTCTTATCGCTGCCATCATCGTTTCTTAATAATAATAAAGCCTTTAATTATCCCCAGCTCAGTTCGGCGGAAGCTTGCTTAGCGCTAATGGGGAGGAATCGTGCTGCCACTAAGTACGCTACCATGGAAATTAGTGGACGTTAAGAACGGACGTTTCCAGATTTCTAGCAATGGACGTTGTTTGCTTACTGCATCCCTTCCTGCTGATGTCGCTCCCGACAGAGAACATGAGGGGTTAGGTGGACGTTGTTTTCTTACTGCATCCCTTACTGCTGATGTACCGTACGTCGACAAAGAAGAGGATTTCGCTCTAGATGAAACACCGCTCCGCTCGCTCGTGTGTTCAACTAAAACAATAAAAATATATTAACACTAGGTACAAATTATAAATTGTGATTTTTCTTCTATGTCTTTGTTAATAAAACTTACTCACCAATGAACTGTATTGATTCTCCGACATGAGAATCGCCATTGTTCGAACGTCATATGCTCGACGGGAAGTAGAAAAGTGCCCCATTTCAGCAAAACTTCAGCAATCGAAGTGGTGTTGGTGGACAGCAACGCAATCATTACATGCCTCCATCTCCAGAATCGAAATTAACTATCGAAAAAAATATCATTAGAAGCAATAGAAATGGAGATATTGGACACACCTCTTAACGCAGTGTTGGCCAGCTCCGTTTTTAATTAGGGATCCCCATAAAAGGTGGTAACTTTTTCTAACGATTGAAGTGGTAGCTCTCTCGGGCAGGATTGATGTTCTACCCCTCTATTTCCAGAAAATTTTTGACATCAAAGAGAATTTGCTAAAAAAAATTTATCAAAATCCTAAGCGAGGTAAGTATTTGACGCACCCGTGTAATTCGTTCCAAGAGTGATATTGATAAGCTCCATTTTTAATTAGAGGTCTCCCATCTCTCCCATAAAAAGGCGGTAACGTTTTCCGACTGAAAGTCTGATAGTGCGGGATCGTTCGATACTTTCCTTTTTTACCAAAAATCGACTACTCCAAAATTTCACGGGAAAACACTTTTCCTTATTAATTTTGGTGCGTAGAATCTAAAACGATTCGTACTTTTTCGATCAGACCTCTCAATCAAAAGTTATGAAAAAAAATTCAAAGGGCTGTAACTTTTGATCTAGTAGCCCAATCTTCAAACTGTTTGAAATTGTGGATTCTACGGACCAAATTCTATAAGAAAATGTTTTTTCCCGGTCGATCTCAGACAATTTTTTTTCCAGCCTCAAAAAAGGCAGAGTGTACTTTCCTTTTATTACCAAAATTCGACTACTCCAAAATTTCTCAGGAAAACACTTTTTCTTATTAATTTTGGTGCGTAGAATCCAAAACGATTCGTACTTTATCGATCAGACCCAGACGATCAAAAGTTATGCACAAAAAACCAATTTGGAAAAAAAATTCAAAGGGCTGTAACTTTTGATCTAGTAGCCCAATCTTCAAACTGTTTGAAATGATGGATTGTACAGGCCAAACACTTTTTCATATTAATTTTACTTCGTAGATTCTAAATCGGCTCATATTTTTTCGTTTGGGCCTCTGAATCAAAAGTTATAAGCAAAAAAACAAGGTAAAACCATGAAAATGGTACTTATCTCTTTCGCGCAGCATTGCGAACATTTGATGTCCTGCACCCCCTGGTCCAGAAGATCGTTGATAAAGAGATTGCGAAGTGTTTGACGCCCCCATGTTATTCGTTCCAAAGTGATGTTGGCCAGTTCCATTTTAATTAGTAGTCTCTCCCATGAAAAGGTGGTAACTTTTCTAACGACTGGAAGTGGTACGTCTCTGACAGTGTCGGGGTCATTCGATGTCCTGCCCCACCATCTCCCGAAAACCGTTGACGATTAAATTGAATTTGCTATAAAAAGAACCATCAGAACCACTGGAGGTGGAGATATTTGACACACCCCGTTGGTGTTCCATTCCAGAGCGGTGTTGACCAGTTCCATGTTTAATTAGGGATCCCCAATGAAAGGTAGTAACTGTTTCTATTGACTAAAATTAGTACTTCAAAAAATCGTTGAAAATTGAAGAGCATTGACTAAAAAAATCTCAACAGAAACAATAGGAGCGTAAGTATTTGACTCACCCGTGCAGTTCCAAAAGTGGTATTTGCCAATTCCCCATTACTTCTCAAAATTATCCGAGAGTTTCTTGATTTATTTATTTACAAATTTCATAAAGGTAATTACAGCACGCGGAATAAACGTAGCACAACAACCGCACTTACTCGCGATTCATACGCAAATGATCTGTGTTTATGAAGAAATAAAATTATATAATGATGCAATATAGATAAACAGAAACAGATTCAGGTCGACACAAAAAAGACATCGCAAACGAGCATGTAACTACAATTTTTTATATGTTACCGAAAACCCCACACACAGGGTGCTCGCAAAATTCTGGCACTTTCCGGTTGTATCAGAACGACACCGGAACATTCTTATTTCAAATGGCACTATCCTTTCTGATAGCATTTTCGAATTGCTCATAAAAAATCACTAAGACTTTGTCAATATGACAAATGGCCGTTCAGTGTCTATGTCTATTTTATTCGAGCAATAAAAACCAAGGAATTTTGTAGTCATGTTTCAGATCGCAGGAGAGGTTTGCATTCAGAATTTACCTAAAAGGAACAAAATTTGGAAAGATTTGAGCTGGACGATAGCAAAGAGTAATTCATATTGTTTTGTACAGTTTTAGTTTAAAATTTCAAAGGCTTGTTAAACGAAAGGGAGTTTCAGAGACCAAAAAAAAATTTTCCCTAATAGTGTTGGCCTGGAAAATGCAAAACGACAACCATTTTCAAGATTGGATCACTACATCAAAAGCCCTCTTCACTTTTCTTGTAACTCGTTTTTCTTTTGTCCATAACTGTTGATGTAGTTTTCAACTCTTAAAAAATGCCGAAGTTGGTGATTCTGGAGGCCAAAATTTACAAGAAATCGAATTCGGAGAAGTAATTTTTTCGACAGAAAATCTTCAAAACCGGAAAAGGATTTTGATTAGAATCCAAACGGACCAACATTTTCCAGGATTTGATCACTACCTACATCACCATCATACAATTTTCTTTTTTCTTTGGAAATCGGTTTTTTTGTTCATACCTTTTGATGTAGCCATTTAGTCTTGAAAATTCTGACGTTTTGGATACTACAGGTCGAAATTGAATTTCCACTGGTCGCCAACCTTTTTGTGTTTTTTTTTGTTGTGCTTAGAGCATAGATTAATTTCTATTCATATCGCCAACTAATTAAATGGGCAAATATCAGAAAAAGTAATATCCCCCAAAGTTCGCACGTTTCCTTTAATTTGAAGTATAAATAAGGCTCATCCGAATTGATAAAAGAAAGGTTGGATGTTACACAATAACTGATTAATTCGAAAAAGATGATGGCGCACCTGCACAATCACAATAAAAAGTTCCAACATTTTTTACCCCATGTAGGTATTTAAAACGATAGGACGGAAGTGCAACCATTTTTGCGTACCGATTCGCAGACATTTTGTGCAAAAGTACGAGGTGAGGCTGAAGCTTATTCAAGTTAGCCAATGATACGTGAAACATAATCAAGCGCGATCCTGAAAAAAAATTAAAACCCTAACGAACAATTCAATTTACGCATTTGCGGGCATTATGAAGTGGCACTCGAAAAGAGCACATTCGCGTTCAAAGTTGCGTAAGTAAAAAGTTCGCGTTTTTTTTGCCTAAAAAGAGAAGAATAATTAATTTGGGATTTTCTTGTCCTTTGTGCGTAAAGCGATTTTATGCATCTCATTTAATTTTGTAAGAAGGGAAATGATATTGTATCAAATAAACGACTTGAAAAATAGTAACTTTAATGTCACAGGATAAAAATTCTATTAAGTAAAATTTATAATTCAGTCAAAACTTTTTGAAATTTATGACCGCATTATCCTTTAAGGAATATTTCAATCTTAAATTGAATTTGTTCCATTATGATGAATGGAACTTGTCGTAAATTATGTTTTAAACACAATCTTGGCCAGGAAAAAGTCATGATCATGCAGAAGTTTACGATTCTTGGTGCAAACTTCAATTGTCCCTCAGCGGGATGGGGTGGGGGGTCAGGATACAATGTGGCAAAGTAGCTTTCGTCCTAGTTGCTCCGGAAAATTCCAAATATTCGATAGGACCACATCACGTTGACAGGAATCAAGGTATAAACCGAAAGGTTGATGAAAGAGGGGAAGGATAACAAAATGCGTATAAGAACAATAGGCGACTAAAAAGAATTAAGTCTAAGTGCCGCCTCTTTCAAATTGTCTGAACTATCATTGATACTTTTTGTTACTTACAAATTATCTGAGTATGCATTTTAAAAATCGTCTACAACCTTCAGAAACTGCACCAGAAAAATTTCTGAAATCCTCTTTGAAACTTTCTGAAATCTTGGCAAACTTTCTAAACCTTTCAAGGGAATTCTGGCACTTCTGCGGCCCCTTAAAAAATTTTGAAATGTCTTAAGAATGAAACTGAAAGTTAAGCTTTAGAAAGGGTATTAACGCATCTTCCGGAAATCCTGTTCTGAAACCTTTGAAGATTTCCTAAACTTTTCGAAAGCACATGCGAACCTCTAAAGAACACCCCAATTGCCCTCAGATTTACCAAAGCCTGAACTGTACTTTTTACAAAGCTCGCATAGTTATTTATATAACAAGAGCGCGAAGTTCAATTTCGAGCATTGAGACTGAAGGTCAGTCAAATGCGCGAAAGAGAAAGAAAAGAAAAACATAATTTGATTCTCCCCGAAACATGTTCGGAAACCTAAAGTTTTCTGAAAAGTTTCGGTAAGTTTAAATAGTTTTTTTTTTAGTTTCGATAACACAATGAAGCCTCCTAAAATTTCTTGAAACCCTTCTCAAGTCTGATGTTTTCCTTTTCCTTCTTTTTCAAACTATGCTTTTTAGAATTCTCTGACACCAACCTGTAAAACTGTTGGCTTTTTTCGAAACCCTAAGATCTACAAAACTCCGCGCTCTAGACCTTGTCGAAGTTGACAACTGCAAGCGATTTGAAATTGTATGGAACTCCTTGAAACTTCACAAAATATTCTGAAATACCCTAAAGGTTTTGTAATTGAAACTTTCCAAAACTACATGAAGTGAAATAGGTCTAGGAAGTTTCACCGTCGCCGCCTCGCCGTCGGAATTTCACTGTGGACCATTTCGCCATCATATTTATAAAAATAAAGAAATTGTTTTAAACCAATATTTGAGATTGACATTGTGTTCTGTTGTACAGGCTGTTGCACGCAAACCGTTACCTAAAAGTATTCTGAATCCCATTAATAATTTAAATCTGAAAACATACACACTGATACAGCTTTTTATGATCTATCGAAAGAAAATATCATCATGATCGTTCCATTTCCGGTTTTGCCCTAGGTATATCATTGCATTTTCAAAATCTACATGAAAATCTACGTCGTTTGATACCACATTTCCCTATACCCAGTTATTCAAGATCTTTCAAAATCTTTCACTTTGTAATGCTTTTCTTAAGACCCTGTACCTATATGACTCCGTAGACTTTAATTTCAAAAAAACATCCAAAATCAACAATACTGACTTGACGCAACATGAGAGTGATTTAAATATTGATCGCCCTTCTACAGAGTGTTTTAGAACTAACTTTTAATAACTCACATCAATCAATTATTATATTCACCTAATCTGTTATGTTTTCTGTTTTATTTAAGATTTTCTAAAATTGTGATGGGTATGCATAATTTTCTTAGCATGGGCCTTGAAATAAACGCATTCGCGATGTCATTCTACCATTCTTGGAAACATTACCTGGGGAAAACTACTGGTTTCAACTTGACGGTGGACCGGCTCATTCTACCCATGATGCTGATGCATGACAGCCTGTATATTCTATGCAAGGGAAACGATTATTCTTGTTCTACTATAATAGCTTAACATATAGTCAATGGAATAGAAACTTTGAACTTGCAAAATGAGAAGTAGGTACCTAGTTCAAATTTTCTTGCATAAACTTCCACCCTTTG